AATGAACTTAAAGGCGTTTCATTATTCTCTTAAGTTTCAAAAATATGCAGTAGTTAGTTGGTCTTCAAACAACATAATTTAGAATAAGCAAAACTGTAGACTACTTAAACGATGTAGGTAAAAGCATGCTTCAAATCTGAACATCTTCAAATTTAAGGATAGAAATGAAGCATGTTGCTAAATTACTTGCAAATCTAGAAGTTGCAGGGGAAAAATAGTCGTTTAGGTGAGTAATATAACCTTTTGCCACCAAAAATGAAAATCTGACTTTCATCCAAGTTTTTATATTTGTAAATATATAAATTAAAGTAGTTTCAAAATGAAAGATAATTAAGCTTAAGACTGAAACATCTAACTTGAAAAATGTTAGAATTGACTTTACATTTGTGTTTTGGGGTTTCCACTATCACTTCACAGAAATCTAGAACATTTCTGGTAGTCTATGCCATGCTTTGTGTCATAAAATCTTCTCAAACTATTTTGTCCCTTTCTGACTTTATGAAATCTGCTATGCAGTCAAATACTAGCAGATAACAGCAGAAAAATTTTACTTTTTTCAGGAGAGAGGTAAATAGAGAAAAAGGAAACTGGTTTAGGGAATCTTCAGGGTAAGACTGAAGTAGTCCTTTCTCAGTATAAGACTGAACATCTAGTGATGGGCAGAAACGATGCAAAATACTGTTCTTTTTTTTCAGCTGCACAGATGAGAGCGGTCAATACCGTACCACGTGTGTAGTCGAGCGCGTGATATTTCTGGGACTTGGACAACAGCCCACTTTAGTGACAGCCTGTTCCAAGGGTAATGAACCGACTTTCGTTTTACTACATTTAGTTATTCTGATTCTGCTACATTCTTATGTATATACTTGGCACATTTGACTACTATTTGTTTTGTGTTCAGTCCTTTCCAGCAGTGGCAAAGACAGTCTGAAGTAAAAACTGAAGTGATTCACATATAACTGTGTTTCAGAAGGGTTATTCCTAAATCATATAGTAAATTCTCTTCTCCTTTCTAGGTGGGAAAGAAAAAGAAGTGGTTTTCACATATGATACGAAGACTGCTGTACTGATTCTGGAAAATTTAGCCCTGAGAGTTGATAGTGACTGGGAGATTTGTATCAAGTGAAACAGGACAACTTCTTCAAATAATTCATTGAGAGGTGGAGGAGAAATCAGCCTCAAAGACTTGAAGTGTTCACTTGAATCCAATCAAATCAAGGAATATTTCCCACCCACCCAGCCCCACAGTAACATTTCTTACAATTTTCCTTTTAAAACATTGATTTAAACTTGGATAACTCTTCTGTCTGGCAAAATAATAGTGCTATGATTGTCTGTGGAGGAAAACTAAGGAGTATTTGTTCTAGGCTAGCTTCAATTAGGCTTTAAGAGTACAGTCAGTCTTTACTTACACCAAAAAAAATCATGAACTGATTGTGTGAGATTGTGGCTCATTTGCATGGGGTTTTATCTAAGGATTTAGAAATCTCACCTTTCACAGCTTAGAGCACTTGAGGAGAGCAGAACCACACCAGTTTGACAAACAGCATCAGTAGATATACCAGATGCTGAGATCTGCCTGCAAAAGCTGCCTTGTAAAAATAAGCTCAGAAAGCCACCCACCGTGGTTGCAGATGCTTCCTATTTCCAGTCCTTATGAGCCTGCAGAATTCATCAATCTGCATGGGAAAGTAAACAACAGGCTAGCTGAACAATTCGGTCACCAGGCTTTGAAGAAGTGGTGCCAGTCAGTTCAGAGTGCAGAATTCTCTCCAAGAGATGGCTTGGAAATTGGCTTTTGAAAAGGTGTATGTCTATGGCAATGGTAGCAGTTTGGGGCAGCAGCTAGGTTCCCATGGAAATGTTTTCCACAGCTTCCCTCTTTGTGCCAGCGCTACTTTAAAAATTAATTTGTTAGGAAAGAATTGGCCTCTTTTGAATGATTAAATGTCATTGGTTGAAGTTAGCCTGGTGAAGCAACATCCTTCCATGGAAATCTGCTCCTCCAAGTCTTTGAGCTTTTGCTAAGCCCTGGCTTCCATTACATTTAGTTTAGCAATTTCCTGGTCAGCTTTTGGTATCTAGCTGAAATTTGAGCTTGGTAGATGGCAATGAAAAAGGCAGAAATTATTTCTATTAACGCGATAAGGAAATATTTTCTATAGTGAATTCTTAGGGAAAGAGAAGGAGAGACACAATTTTTGTCCATTAAAGGGAACATGGTAGTGCATTTGTACGTTGTCCCCTACACTTCGTATTAAGCCTGCTCAGTGCTTGGTCAGTCATTCCCACCTGCTGCTGTTTGTCCTCTGCAGGACAGATTTCTGGGAATAACAGCGTGAGAGCAAATGGTGACAACTACGCTGTTGAGTACAAAGTGCAGCTTGTTTCCCACCTGACCCTTGGCTTCCTTCTTTTTTTATTCTGCAGAACTCTTTTTCGACTCTTTTTAGCAGACACTCTGAACCTCCACTCCAGGAGCTGGGAACTAGCAGCCTAGCTGCCGTGTTTAATGAAGACAAGTTAATCCAGGTGGAACAGTAGCAAATAGATCTTTTACATCTGTGAGAAGATAGACAAACTCTGTTTTTCAGACAGACCCTATTTTTCTATCAGCTTCTAAAGTTTTGATTGATAATGGTTTCTTTTATTTAAACATGGTGGTGCTGACAGGGTGTAATTATTGTCTGGGGCGTTTTAATGAAATGTTTTAACTAATATTACTAAGTTTGAAAGTGAAATAAAGTAACAGCAAAGTGAGTTATGTGCTGTGATCTAACCTTCTTTTTACTGTTGAGCATTACTTATTAATATTCTTTTAATTGTTTGTGAGTAAAGTGAATGGTTAAATTTTATGCTGTGACCTGCAGCAAATCTGCACTGATATAAGTACTCATAAGTCAAATGTTCAGTGTTACAACATGCCTAACTTCTGGGGACTTTGAGAGAAATTAGTTGCACAAAACCTTATTACAGTTAGGTCTTTATATAATAAAGTTAAATAAATTTCAAAAAAATTTACATTGATGCTTGTATCAACTTACATACTTTTCCACATATTTTGTCATAAATGAAGGAATGAATTAATACTTTACCTTTCTACAAAAAGTAATTGAACTCAGATATTGAAAACAACTAGAGATAGAACTTCATAAAAATTGAATTGATTGTCACTCATTTAGATCACTTTTGATTTACCATCTGAACAGGAGTTGTGGATGGGGGCCCTTCTGCTCACAAGAAATTCCATCACAAAAGGTAGTCTGATTTCTAATGGCAAAGGGTTTTGGTTTTTTTGCTGTTTGTTGCAGACATTTCTGTGTGTGGTAAAACATACGCTGGTTTTCTTTTACTAGCAACTCTGTTCATCACAGAGAAGATCTACAGTAGCAAGAGGAAGCTGTTTTTTGAACAGGTATAGCCAGAAAATACTCCTGAACATCCATAAAGAGCAATGTTGGATTAAAAGTGTAACACAGTAAGGGCATGCCCACCTGCCATTTCCCCATCCCAGGAAAAACAAATACATAAAAACATTGCTACTATTTCACTTGATCCTTCTCTGCAGCCCACAGGGAGTTTGTCAAGTATCACATTCTGCGCTACTACTGTCTTTCTTTCCATAATAGAGCTCTTTGTATAGATGAATGTTTGTATTGAGCAAGAAGGGAGAAAATGAAAGAAAAAAAACATATGCCCAGGCTACATAATGAACATTCCTTTCTGAAGTTGTGAAGTCTGAAAACCTTGTGTTTCACTATTTGCACTGCACTTGTAATATCCTGGAAAGAGTGATGCATATCTCTGCCAAGCTGTCATGCAAAGCCACGTCAAATACGAGACCTGCGATCCTCACATCTGAGTGTAATGAGGAAGTAATCAATTCTGCAGCAACTGCATTCCTGTTTCCACATACAGTCAAATCAGTCCTTTCTGAATGCCCTGTTTGTCCAGGAAGCTTCTGTTCATGATCAAAATGATTTAGGCCACCATTTAGGGGTGAGGGTTGAGTACTCCTAGAGGTTGGTCAAGCTTGTTAACTATATTACCTTCTTCAGAGGTTGCCCTAGTGAAGTTCTGAAAGGGGACAAACGAGCTTTAGACTTTCTCTGTTGTACTCAATTTGAAGCCAGCAAACCAAGGAAATAGCTGAGAAAAAAGTATCAGTGCTTTGGCAGCATAGCATAGTACTAGAGCAGAAGGTCAGCCAGAGTCCAGATACCAGTGTTGTTAGACAAAAATAGCATTGATGTCACCTTGTGATTTCAGACTTCCCAATCAAAGACCATCAAGATTTAGAGGGCTTTTCTTGCCATACAGGCACTGTCAGTTTTTAAGGAATGCTGGGAGAAGAGAGAAGAGCGATGTGTATAAATGAAGGCAACTTGACTTTCTTTCGCAGAAATTTTGAATTTGTCCCTGGGAATAAATGTGCTAAGTCAGACATTTTGCCTAAGATTGGTATATCCTGACACACACAGAATGTCCCAATTTCTGCACTGGGCCCCTAAGAAACTTCACTGCCCCCAATGAAAAGGAGCCTTTTCTACATGGAAAACAGGTATGGCAAATGAATCTCAGCCCTGGCCAGCTGCTCTCTCTGAGGTAGCCTGAAAAATCCAGCCCCCATTCGAGAGGTGTTGAACTGACCTCAATAGCATCAAATACTATTACTTTTTTTTATTATTAAGGCTATGTCTTCAGATGACTGGCTCTGTAAAATACACGTTATCTGTAACAAAGGGCAGAAACAACAAGTACAATAATTCATAAGGAGTGTCAGGACTAGCACATTGGCTAAGAGTTCTTCATAAATGTGTTCCCAGACAGGGGGAGCTCAGCTTCCAGTGTCACTGTTTTTCTCTGCTTAAGGAAGAGATGAGCTGTGTGTACCAGGAATCAGCCCACACACAGCTCCTGGCCTGGGCACAAGCTGCACAGCAGACTGACACCCACGCTAACCCCCCTCCCTATCATTTTCCCTCTCTATCACTCTTTGCTGGTAGATATTTTTAGATTTCACTGGTTAAAGCTTGTCTCTTCTCAGCGCTTCTACACACTGGGTCGGCACACACAGATGCTGTAGATAGAACAACTCAGGCACAGGACTCAGCCTACAGAGAACCTTGTTCTCCATCAGGGAATAAATTCCACTTTCTTATGCAAAAATACCACCCTTTGAGAAGATGCACAGAGAGCTGAACCAGATGGGATTGTATCGCTTATAAGTTTTAACTAGGAGATTTCAACAAAAAGGGGCAACGGCAACTTCCTCTTTTCTCAAATTTCCTTCCAGTGTGCAAGATCTTGCTTTCTTTCAACGCTTGCTGTAAGGCCACTTCTCATGCCGTCCGCCATAAATGCAGCGGTGGCTCAGCAGGCAGCTGCCGGGTCAGTTCCTAGCACTACCAGCACGACAACTGAAGGCACAGGGGGAGGCACAGGAGGGATTTATTCTGCCATTATAAGTCGCAACCAGCCCATTATCAAAGTAAAGGAAAAGACCTATGAAGAGCTTCACAAGAAGTGTCTGGAGAAAAACATTCTCTATGAGGATCCTGATTTCCCACCTAATGAGACTTCCCTCTTCTACAGCCAGAAAGTCCCCATCAAGTTTGAATGGAAAAGACCACGTGTAAGTAACACATTTGCTGAGTGCCTTCTGCTTTCTGTGAATGTGTGTTTTTTTTGCAAAAGGGGCAGGAAGAGGAGAGAAGGGAATAAGCTACCAATGTATTTCGTTAAAGCTTTCCTGGGAGATAGCTGGCTAAGCAATAGAAGCTCTGAAAGTATATGTAATGAGTAAAATATGACAACAGTAGAAAGAGATGGAAGAAAGTATGTAGAAACAGAAATATGGAATTTTTATTTTATTCTTCCATGACTTGCTAGGAATTTTCTCACTTGAAACAAACCAAGAAAACTTCTCCCCCTTGTTCTGCAACATGTTACTAGGTTTTCAACACTACCTTACTTCACTTACATCTTTTATTTAGAATTCTGCTGTTTTTGTACTCTCATAAAATAAAAGAACAGGTTATGCTCTGAAACATGCTTCTACTTGGTTCTTAGTTCTTCACATTGTTTAGCTGACTCATGATGCTCCTTACCCACTTACCAAGAGTAGGGGTGTTGCAATTGCTATGAGGACAGACTTCTGACTACCAACCCTCTTTCTCCTTATTGTATCTTGTGGCCATTCCCCAGCCAGCCACCACCTTTCCTGTGGGAAAGAAAGAATAATTTGTAAGTTCCTAACTAATTCCCCATCCTACCACAGAGCAAACTTTTCTTTTTCCCTATCATTCCTGCCGGGCGGTTGCTGCCCTCCAGCAAGTGAGCTCTGTGGCTTCCTCTCACCACTGCCCTACAACAGGGATGTGATTCTAGGGAGCTACTCTAGTTCCCTCAGAGTACCTCTTCAGTGCAGAAATCCATGCTTCAGTAACAAAGTTAATGGCAGTGGATAAAACTAGCTAAAGGAGCATAAGTAAATAGCAGAAGACCAAGTGCTTTAGAGTGTAACTATAAAATAACAGCAACAAGCAACATCATGGGAGAGAAACAGGACTCCCTTTGTCAGTAGTGTTGTGTGTACACGTGCTGTCACATGACAGAGAGCAGCCCACTCCTTCATCGTCATCATCACAGCTGCATCAGCTCTTGGAAATGTGTGTGAATGAGCTAAATGTGGAAACAAGCCGATCATCTGAAAGGGAGGGGATTTCCTGTGTTTCTAGAGAGAGGAAAGTGGTAAAGAGGTATAGAGGATACTTGCCGGCAAACAAACTGCAACTGTGCATCTGTAAATGCATCAGAACATTAAAATTAGCTGGTACAGCATCACTTCATGTAAATTAGCAGCTTCCTTTTGGAAAAGTTGGGCTGCCCAATGAACTTTGGGAGCTCTCAACTATTCACATAACTACAACATGCCTGAGGCTGCACAAGATTCAAAATACAACTTAAATACCAAAAATTAAAGCTATCTTAGTTCTTCAGCACAAGCATTCAGGCACCTGGCATGTCCGTGGTGCGAGTCACAGGTTAGAACAGATGCAGGAGCTCTGCAAAGCAGAAGGCTGAGCCTGCTGAATCCTGGTGCACTGCAGGACAAGGAACACAGGGGCTGCCCTGCCTGGGGTGCAGTGGGCCTTGCTGGTGGAAATACCCATGCTTTCTGTTGTGAAAGGTTTGTTTTAAAACCACACCGTAATTCAGGTCATTGCTGTACCCAGCAGGTCCCCAAAGAGGGAGGGAGTTGCACATGATGCTTGCTTCTTTTATAACGGATCCACATCATGACAGCAAAAGGAGATTGCTCTTGTGACCTGAAGCAAGAGACCTGTGTATGTTGACACTGATCTGAGATTGGCTCAAGGTTTTGCTTCACTGGATTTTGAAACTGTAGAATATGTATCACTGATAGCATGACTTGTCTGATAGTATTACACATGGAAGTAGACATGACAACCATATTATAAAAAAAACATAGAGTTAAATGAACATGAAGTAGTAATACAGTAGTAAAGACCACAATGTTAAGAGGTTAAAGCAATCCATGAAGCACCAAATATAAAGAATAAACTGCATGGGCCACGTTTTGTAATACTGCAACAATATGTACAACTTCTGTTCTTATTAAATTACAGTGACTTTTTTTGGCAAATAAAGAGGCTAGTTTGTAAACTATAAAGTCTTAGAAAGTGGTAATTTCAAATTGGTTTGAAATTCATGTTGAATTGAATTAAATTTGCGAATGTATTCCGAATGAAAACAAAATAGCAGAAGGTCAGAAGTTCTGAGAGAATATCGTAATACTGCTTTTGTTCCAGATCCTTTCTCTGTAGTGTACTGTGTATGTCACTTACCCCCAAAAATAGTGAATAAACAAATGGCCCATGTGCCATAGGATCTTGTTTAACATAGAGATCTGGGGAAGAAGTCATGTGTTCCTGACCACGTTTGGCTTTATGAGTCACCTTAGCCATGCTGTGCCAGACATTTGTACCTAAGCTCTTTCCTCCCAGCCCAAGAGGTTGATGTAGAATATAATAGGAGTGAAAGAGTGATACTGGTACTGAATGAGCATTATTTGCTATGACACCAATTTACATGGAATTGTTGAATGCAAGTTTTTCCAGAAGTCTTTTTCAAGGAATCACAAAGTCAGTCTGAAGGGCACACGTCTGCCATTCCCAAATGCCATGACCAAGCACTAGTAATAGTGACAATCCTCAGTTGAACAGCACGTGAACTAATATGTGAGCATGACATACCACCACTGCTGTTGCTTCTGGGATTAGGGCAAGATCATGCAGCAGGGACGAGACCCCTGGAGCTACCCCTTGCTCTGCTGCATCTGGTCCCGGTGGCAGCGAGAACACAAGGAGTGCCATCATCTAAAGCGTGGCTGCCATGCAGGGCATCTGTGAAGCCTGCTGGTGGCGTGGTGAGGAGCCCTGTAATTCTATATGGTGACAGCTGTGCTGCGATGTGAATGCACCCTCATGGCATGCAGCTTGGACTAAAGCCAAGCATGGCCGGAGCAGGACGCAGCACCATGCCTGGCCAAGATGCTGAGGTACACAGCAGGGCTTACCAGCCCAGTGTGCTGGCAAGGACCTTTGAAACAGTCTTTCTAATGCTACATTAATTAGGTCACAGGGAAGCATAGGTTCCCTGTTGTAAGATGAGATCTCTAATAGCTACTGGCTAAACACCCTGCACCATGCAGTAACAAAGTCTGGACCACAGGGGCTCAGGGGAGAAGCAGGAGCCTACAACCCTTCTTCGGCCAAAATGATACTTCCTTTGCTTGACAGGACTGGTTTAGGGAATTTACTTAGAATGTTCTTAAAGGAATAAATGCATTTTGCTGCAACAGTATAAGCTGACTGCAGAACTTTTCCTGACAGAGAAAAAAAGCTAATGAAAATGCAGCAAAGGTCGAATGCCATTTTTAGTCGTATGCTGCCTTGGTATTTTCCAACTGATGTGCAAGTACTCTCTGTCCAGGAAGCAGCATATACACTATGGATGGTTTCTCCTTGGATTCTGTCTCTGCTGCTGTAACAGTCATTCTGCTTCTTTGTAATGAACCTGTGGCCAAAACTGAATCAACTCAAAGGACAGGAAAGGTCTGGTGAATAGCACTAAGGCAGTCTAAGGGTGACTGGGTGACTCACTGCATCAGTGAAGTGCAGCCTGCCAGCATTCTGTATGGTAATGACCTCAGAGATGAAGAGCAACCTCTTGCTCAGCCAGCAGCACTGGAAGATCAGGTGTGTCACCTGCATCTCAAACACCAGGCGACAGTGTGTTTCTCATTAGCCTCAGAACACACTGAAACCCTCTTCCGTATTCCTCTGTGTACAGATCATCCTCCAAAGCAGAGAAACACAAGATGCAATAAATCATACTGAATAGCAATTAATCAGCAATGCACATTTAACATTTGTGAACATTAAGCATAACGTAACCTAAAAGACAGCATGCTGGACTCCAGGTCTGGTTACTGCAGCGATAGCAGAGTCAGGCTAAAAACCCAGTAGTGGCAAAGGAAGAAACAAAATCTCAAAACCCAATTTCTCACACTTAGTTTTCTAGAGAACACCAAAGCAATGTGAAGGAGGATGTTTTCACAAAAGCTGGTGGTGGAGAAAAGCATGAAGGTATCTCAAACAGCTATCTTGACAGAACTGAACCCTAGGACAGCTGACTAAGGCCTGAAATAATGGGACAATCCCTCCATTCTCTTCCTCAGGGATAATATGTCAATTGCTCTGGGAAGCCAGAAGCAGGTCTCTTTTTAGCTCTATGACTAATCCAAACAGTTATATCAAAGCAACCCTGATGATTACTGCAATGGAGCAATAAGTGAGTTCAAGCCAAGCGACGCTATTAGACCTGAAACCTGAGTCTGGGAAAATCCAGGGCTACCCTGATTACATTGTAAATCTTCAGACTGCAGAGTTAGCATTAGCATCAGCTGTCTGTACTGCCAATTGTTCCACTCACACAAGGAATTTTCAGGTGTTCTCTCTTCTTCCTTCTCCAGCCCCATGATCTTCCTGCCATCTGGGTTCTTGGACTGTATCTTTTTCCCCATTAGCAACTGCTCAGGAAATTTGTCCTCAGTTTGCAGTATCTTTCTTTTCTTACCCTTACAAGAGATGGTCAAAAAATTACATCTTTTCTTCCCAACACAAGTATTTGAGTGTGAGGGATAGAATAGGATAGGATAAAGCAGACACCTTCTGTTTTAATCTTTTCCCTGTATGAGAGGTTATGCCTAATTTTTCCTCTGGCTTCCCTATACCCTCTAGTATAGGAAATATACGTACCCTTTGTCCCATTTGGGAAACAAAGATGTAATGGATGTGAAAAAGGCAAACACTGTAATAGTCCTGTCTCCTTTTACCAGTACTTCCTACATAATCTTTCACTCCCTACAGCAATATCTTAATTTATGCCCATACAGCATCTCATGTCCATTCTGTCCTTACTGATAAACCTAATATATTGTCCCAAGTGCAGGACAAAAGAGATTCCTGTCCTCAGAAACAGATGATATCTATATTACGTTTCTCAATTCAGCATTGGCAGTTAAATACTGCAACATGAAGAATAAAATCACTCAATATTTGATTATTCCTGAGAATCAAATATCCGACTCTGGACAGGTTTCAGAGAGTATTACTGGAGATCATTCCTGCTTAAATGCAGTCTTCAGCTCTATTTATATATACATCAGCATTCTAGTTTTTGCATGTTGGATTCCTGTAACCTGAAGTCAGTATTAAAAAATTGAATCTAGTTCTCAAACACTCTTTCCATCTGTTTGCTCTCCTCAAATAACATTTTTTCATTGTATGGAAAAATATTTTCCCCTATTTTCCTCATTTTAACATTTGCCAGTCAGTACAGGAATAGTTTCCCTCCTGCTACTCCTGCAACTGCCGAAAGCCTGGGATATCCACTAACGTGTTGTCAGCAGAGATTTGCAGCTAAAAACTAAGCAATAGATTTTGATATCTACAAACTGTCTCACATTAAATTAAAACTAAAAAAACTTAAAAACAACAACAACAACAAAAACCACATTGTCTTTAAACAGCTTTAATTTCTGTGAAAGTCAGGCATCCCAATGTATGTTCTCATGCTCATCTACCTGTTTTTATTTCCAGGAAATTTGTGAGAATCCACGATTTATTATTGGTGGAGCCAACAGAACAGATATCTGCCAAGGAGAATTAGGTATGAAATTGTCACATTCACCCTACACATTATAAACTTTTTTTTAACTCATCATAGTTCAACTCTCAATTTTCATTTGCTTCCAAGGAGATGTTTTAATTCTCTTAGAATACCACTACACATCTACTGATTCCTTCCCTATAGCAAATGGATGACATCTGCCTGCTACCAATCTAAGGAGGAGCTTTGAGCAAACAACACTTTGCTTTTCATGAACTAATATCACGAGTGTTGCAAAGCACCGTTTGGCAAGACCTGGTCCTTCTCCAAATACTGTTGTATTTTTTCAGATATTTAGTCTTGTTATTTTAAAACTTCTGGAGGCCTTCAGCCAAGTGTGCCTTGTACTGAAGGATAACCTCTACATTGGAGAACTTAAGCTCAGATGCTCAAACTGCTTTGATATATAAAGCTGCTACATAGGTGTAAGTGACAACTAGGCGGCTGTCAGCCACATGGCACTCACCTGCACTGCTTCGTAAAGACATTTCCCACTCAGCTTTTCCATGCCTTCCACGGTTTTACTGCTTCTCCTGTGACAGGTGTGTGCCTAGACAGTGGTGCCAGTGAGCATTTCCACAGCATCAATAAGTAAGAAGTGCTGAAGCGCCGCAGAACACAGTGAGAAGAGCCCTTTACTGAAAGGTCGTGGCACACTCTATTGAAAATCAGTGTACCTGACAGTACCTTAACTTTCCCCTTTGATTCTAGCTGCTCTCTCCCCTCATTTTGCCTGCTGCTTCTGCTTGCTTACAGGCGATTGCTGGTTCCTGGCTGCCATTGCTTGCCTGACACTGAATAAAAAACTGCTCTGCAGAGTCATACCTCATGACCAGTCCTTCATACACAACTATGCTGGCATCTTTCACTTCCAGGTGAGTCCCCTCATCTAGCATTAAGGAGATGTAATTATATTCACCCAACAGCAAGCTCACCACTTGGCACATTGCTTCCTTTCCTTCCTCCACCCTGTGAAAGCATGAGCAACAGCAGGAAAGGAAGAAGGATTGAATTCCTTCACCCCAAACTCTTCCAGCAAGGCAGTCATGGAAGGTAATTAGGGAACATTAATCCACTCATGAAGCATTTGCAGATGCATGGCCTATGTGTGACAGATAGCAACAGGTGCTTGGTCTTGCCTTCCTGCTCAGCTGCAGTATTACAGCTAGCACAGAGATACTAGTGGTAAGAGCATCTATTTTTAGGGCCGCAAGCAGCTGGCCTCTGTCAAAAATAAGTCAGTGAAGAACTGATTTTTCAGAAGAGATTGATTGCTGTCCATCTTCCCCATGGTTCTCTAAAAACGCCTCTTTTAAGATGGATCTATTGCCAAGGTAAATTCAGCATGGCTGCCTCCCTTTCCATGACATCGCTTTTTGGCACGTTATAAAGCAGGACACAGCCCACTACCAGTAGGTGTCCAAAATTCAGGTGGCTTGAGGAACACCAGGTAAATCTGAAGGAATACAGATTCTCTGCTTCTGATCACAATGTAAGCCAGAGCATGGCTCCTTGCACAGCTGCATTTGTGTGTCCCTCCCATCCCACCAATCTCACACTTTGTGCAGGAATTGTTATTTACAACTTCAACTGTAATCTAGCTCTGAAGGATTTGCTGGAAATGCCTGAAGTTAAGAAAAGGGAGGAAGGAATGGAACTGGTGGAACAGTCACATGCAAAGAGTCAGCTTGTTCAAAATCTCCTAGGAATAACTCCTGGGAGTGTTAGACCTCAAAACCATCTAACCATACCAAACCAGGACCTGCAGTTTCTGCCAGCAAAGTCTGGTTGCCATGGGTCAGCTCTGAAGTCACAAAACAGAAAAGGGAGAAGTTTTAACAGTTGTAGAACAGTTAAGTGTTTCTCCTTCCTCAGCTCAGCTCTCCAGCCAGACTTCCCCTTCCCTGCACGCAACATCACGCAGATGTTTTTCTGTTTGCCTTCATTCAGTTTTGGCGCTATGGAGACTGGGTGGATGTCATCATTGATGACTGCCTACCCACATACAACAACCAGCTGGTCTTCACCAAATCCTCCCAGCGCAATGAGTTCTGGAGTGCTCTCCTGGAAAAGGCCTATGCAAAGTAAGTCACAGTCTGCTGCACTGTGCCACACTCTCTTGGGCTGCAGGGTTTGTAGTTGAACTGCATTGTACTGAACTTGTCATATGCACATTAGCTCCACACATCTCAGTACCTTTTTCCACAGATTCTAATTGAGTATGACGTAAAGCATATTTTCAGTTGCTTTTTTTTTGTTTTGATGGTGGTTTTTTTCTTGTTACTCATTCAGAAGTCTTATTTTTTTTTCCTCTTTCTAAGACTCCATGGATCCTATGAAGCTTTGAAAGGAGGCAACACCACGGAGGCGATGGAGGATTTCACTGGAGGGGTGACAGAGTTCTATGAGATAAAGGATGCTCCTAAAGATATCTATAAAATCATGAAACATGCCATTGCCAGAGGATCCCTCATGGCCAGCTCCATTGATGTGAGTCTATATGAACTTTGTAGATGAGTCATAAGAAACGGCAGAAATCTCCACCTATAATCATGTATCAACTTTTGCAATAACTTAGTTGAGTCCACATAAACAAACGTTCATTTGCAGGTGGTAGGGTACTCTCCTCTAGACACTTTCTATTAGAGAACAGCAAGCACCAAAAGGGAGATGGACAGAAGCAGAATAGGGAGGCAGGAGAAAGAAAGGAAGGGATCTGGATCAGTAAAACCAGCACCCTTCTCTCGGTGAGGTGCAACAATTCTGTTAAGATACAAATCCTCTGTGTTGAAGATGCTAACAGTATGCAAATATCCAGGAAATAAACCCATTTGATTCCCAGCATATCCTTAGATTATCTTAATTTACTGTGGATAATTTAAAAGTGACAGTAAGAAAATACTAGTTTCAATAGTTGTGAAGTTGCAGTAAAGGCACAAAAACAACTGGTGATATTAATCACCATAGGTAACTGTGGACAATCTAGCAAGTAATGAGAAAGTAAAGAAGTTATCTAGGCCATTTTTCACCATATATCTTTTTTGTAGTTTCTTTTCTTTCTCCATCTCCTATTTCAATTTTTCTTCCATTCTCTACCAGGATAACCTAGGCTTTTCCTATGGAGCAGCTCCTAGAAGCGACATTAGAGAAATGATTGCTCGAATGGTGAAGAACCTGGAAAATGCACAGATGAGTCACTCCACTGTGGACCACCAGGGGACAGATGAAAGGCCAGCCTGGGTTCGTACATCAACAGAAGCAATTTCACAGCACTTTTATTTACAGCCAGAACACATCACCTATGTTTTTAAATTCTTCTTTTTCTTCACTTAATTATTCCAACACTAAAGATCTGTTCTTCTGAATGCTATTTGATGTTCACATTAAAGGACTTCAGTTCTTTGAAACACACAAAAAGCCATAAAACTTCCAAACTTAAATCTTCCAAATCTGTATATGGACACATTGCTGTCCTTTTCTTACTACCAGGCAGTTGCCATACCTTACTTTTTAGGGACCTGTGTTTCTGTGGAAGAAAATAATTCTCTCTCTTTACAGAGGAGAAAAAAACAAAACAAAATGCCAACACACCACTGAAAAAACATACTATAGCACCTAAAACATTTCATTGTGCAAACTCTCTCCTGCAGGAGAATCAGTCAATTTCTCCTCCTCAGACATCCCTATTTAGTCTTCCTGAATGACTGACATGGTGTAATTCTTTGGGAAAGCCCAATATGGCTGCCTTTTGCAAGCATGACTTTCCAAATCACCCGTGTTTTCAGGGGGAACTTCTTTCAGTTGCAGACATTACAGATGAATAACTAATAGAACATTACAGAACTCTTTCTATAGTTGCTGCTGTTTTACTGCTAGTTGTTACACTTCTGAGCCATCACCAGAAAAATTTGTGACTCTCAATGGAAAGAAGCAGACCACAGTGCAGGCCACAGAAGCACTCCAGAGAAGCAGGCCAGGGCACTCGCAGCATAAGATAATACTCTTAAGTAGAAAAGAGAGAAAGAAGTTCTGCTAAATAATAATGCTAATGTGAGGAGAAAATAAGAAAAAAAAAAAAAAGAAAATAGATATGAGGCAATAGGCAGAAAAAAATATGGAAACTGGAATAAGATAAAAGAAACAAGAGCAGAAGGGAAATCATGGAAAATAATTGTGACAGCCAGGAAATACTTGGATGAGATTCCTCCCTGTGCAAGCTGAGAATGTAGCTGTGTGACCTTATTAATTCTCCATTTCCAGCACTGACTTTCTCACGTCCTCAGATTTATCAAAAACAGATGGAAGAGTTACCAGCAGAGCCCTGCAGTCTTTTCTCAGTGACAAACATAACAAGGGAAGAAGTTTCACACATGATCCACCTCCATTTTGCATAGTCCTCCTTTCCCACCATTCTCCAAGATTTTCCCTACAAGCACAGCAGGCTGTATAAACCTGACTTCTTACTCTCAGTTTTTCAGCTTCCAGATAAATAAAAGAGCATAGTAGCAGCTGATTATCAAGACAGCAAGTGTACTTGTATCTGCTGGAGAAAGCAATGTATTTCCTGTGTGTCAGGTGAAAAACATTATCACCTCAGGGATTATGAAATAAAGTCTCCATATCTACAGGAAATACATTTTAATAATAATGTTAGTAGGAACAGCGTATGAAATTGGGTCATGATGAGATTGCAGCAGAGCATAAAGAAAGTGTTCTAATAGATGTTGAGCTGCTCTTGTGTTTCCAATTTTATCCACAAAATCTTACTGAGCCACACAATAGTATACTATCCTAGAAATGGCTGAAAGCTCTATTCATGGAAGAATTAATTATTTTGGTTAAGCTTGCTATACGCTAGCATGTTCTGAATGCAAACAGCAGCGAATTACAGAAAGGGAAAGAGTATATCACAAAATGTTCTTCACAATGAATATCATTAATATTTTGCTCCTTTAATTAATTCTTCACTCCTTTCTAATCAGTGATATTCTCTGGATACTAAGTTGGGTCTTCTTGATAGAAGATGAAAAGAAGACTTAAAAAAAAAAAAAAAAAAAAAAGTCTCCCAAACAGTGTCATCCTCCCTTCTGCCTCAGAGCTGCTGGTTGACCTTCACGTGCCTTTTCTGTATTTTTATCCTGTGTCTAACAGACTATAATGCCAATGCAGTATGAAACTCGGATGTCTTGTGGGCTGGTCAAAGGTCACGCATACTCAGTCACAGCTGTGGAAGAGGTAAGTAAAGTCTTTTGCCTACTGCTGTGGGGTCTTTTAGTCTAGACTGGCTCAGCATGATGCATGGCAGCAGAGCTGTATACAGGGGGACAAAAGAGGAGGGAAAGATACAAATTATGAAATAAAGGAAAGAAATTTTGTTTTCAAATAAAGTACAGCTTCATAGAGAAACCAATCAGTCTCAGCTTTGTGTTTCTATGTGAATGGATGTTCCTCCATGATCTACATGGGCAAAGGTGGCCACAGCTGGCCGCTTCTTAGTCTTACAGCCTTCCCACGCTCATTCAGGGCACGTCAAGCTGAGTGATGGCCCTGGAGAGCACTGTCACTTGGGGAGATGGTATCAGTGATGTGACTGACAGAACGTTTCCTTTCTAAGCCTATTTCTCACAAAATAATTCAGCTGATTCTTCTTGCCTTCTCTTTCAATTAGACAACATTTAAAGGGGAAAAGATACGTCTGATAAGGCTGAGAAACCCGTGGGGACAGGTGGAGTGGAATGGACCTTGGAGCGATAAGTGAGTACAAAGTGTCTAGGAGCTTCATTTGATTTGGAAAAAATATAAATTGCAGCTTTATTTCCTTTTGCAGCTTTGCATTTAACAATGAGTTATCAGGTTTTGCTAAGAGATAGTTCAGTACGTACTCCATCAATGACTTTGCAAGCATTTCTGTCTTTAAGCTAAACAAAATAAACACATTCATTTTTTATTTCTGAGAGTTTCTAATAGGAAGTCTGAAGGGAAGGAAGAGTGAAGCAGGGCAGTTTCTTCTCCATTTGAATGTATGGAGATGGAAACATTGAGAACAAATAGTTGTGGAAATGACAAGGGAACATATTTTGTGAGTGCAGAACGACAGTGCTTCACTTTTCTCACTATGAGGCTTACAGTAAAGAACAGGAATACAAATAAAAATTGGGTATTGCAAAACATAATGTAGCTTGTTTACACTTTTGCAGATCAGAAGAGTGGAACTTCATTAAAGAAGAAGAGAAAATTCGCCTGCAACACAAGATTGTGGAAGATGGGGAATTCTGGTGAATTATCTGTCAAAAAAAATAGTGCTTCTATAGGAGATATGCAACTATGGGTCACACTGCATGACTTAAACATGCTAAAACTGGCATTAATTCCTTCCCCAACAAGCCTTGCTATACAATCCCTTCACTCTCCCACCAGGGTATATTGAGTCCCACAGCCCATCTAATCATCCCATATTTCACAAGCTCTCCATCCCCTTTCCTATGATCTGTCCCCTCGCTCCACTGTTCCCTAGTTTGGAGCTGTACCTGTGTTAATCGACCAATAGGCCAAACACATTAGGAAATTGGAGCTTCCACTGCAAACTTATACTAGTAGAAGCGGTAATATGGGTCACTCTTCAATACAATTACTTTAGTAACAGTACATCTTTTAGACAACTACATACCAAGCAAATTCAGCTTCCCTTCAATTCTTCCAGGATATCGTTTGAAGATTTCATGAGGCATTTCACAAAACTTGAGATCTGTAACCTCACACCTGATACTTTGGAAGCTGATAAGCTTCAGACCTGGACTGTGTCAGTCAACGAAGGACGCTGGGTGAGAGGCTGCTCAGCTGGAGGGTGCCGCAATTATCCAGGTGAGCAATGAATCTTAAGAGCTACCACCTCTCTGACGGGGGCTAAGCTAAGTCACACTACAGGCTGATCAATGCTCAGCCACAGGAAAGCATTTATGATGAGCCACATGATTTTCTATCCAGCTATCTCCTGTTACTATGTTTGTGACAGTGCTTCATAAGCCCAAAAGGCAAACCTGGCAAAGGTAAATTCTTGTTTGAATACTTTGCATTGCAGGTAAGAGAAATCAATTTCACTCTATCAGTTAGATTTAACTTTGGAAATTCTCTGATAAGTTCTGCCACGTTTAGGTTCCCTGAAAGTTTAATCAATGCTAGTTCTGCACTTTAAATCCTGTGCTGCACAGTTGTTAGAACTGTATAAACCCCCCCAAACACATTAAAATATACACATTGTATGTATAAAAATAAAAGCCCAGCTTTATCCTTTCCCTCAGGAACTACAGACAGGAAATAGCAAAAGTTCTCTTTGGTCAAAAGTATTGTTAGAAAACTGAAGATTTGTATGTTTGCTTTGGGTGACATTTCACAGATACATTTTGGACCAATCCCCAATATCGCTTGAAGCTCCTAGAGGAAGATGATGATCCTGAAGATGAAGAGGTTATCTGCAGCTTCCTGGTAGCACTGATGCAGAAAAACAGGAGGAAAGAACGCAAGCTGGGAGCCAACCTCTACACCATTGGCTTTGCCATCTATGAGGTACCAGTTCTAGACCTAGTTCTTAGTGCCAGGTTCCCAGCCCTTACAGTACGTTTACCAAGGGAGTCATTGAACTGTTATTCCTGACTACATGAATTGCAGTTTCTCCTTTGTAAGGAAATGTGGAAGAGAGGGAAAAAAAAATATCAAAGCTTTAGTATCATTTAGCCCATACTAACCTCAGAGTTTATACCTCTAAGTAATGCACTTAATAGGTTTTTATGGTGATTCTGTGTCAGATTTTAGCATATTTTTCCCCATATCTACTTCAGTCTCCACACTGCTTTAATCCATGCTGAAACTAAACATCTAATTGGCAGAACCACATAAAAGGGAAACAGTTGAGACAAAAAGTAGTGATCAACGTCTGTCCTTCTAGTGACTTCAGGTAGAAGTCAATTGACTCAGTCCTTTGCACAAAAATATTTGGTTCAAATCTCAATGGATCTTGTGTGGGTCACAAGAAATCTGGAAAGGAAGGGGGGAATTTTCTTAGAAAACTTTTATCAGTTGAGGTAATTTAATGACTAGCTGCAACACCAAAAATCCCTTCTGTTAGATTTATAAGCAAGTAGACTCACCTAGAACTTCTGTTTTCTCTCTTTGTTATTTACTCCCTAAGGTACCCAAAGAGGTATGAGCTGAATGGGGACAGACTGACAACTTGGTGTATGCTCACAGCTAGTGTCACTGTTGCTCCTGTCTGTAAGTCAGTGGGAAACTGTCCATTCGAGTTTGTTTTCAGGGATGTTACAGAAGTGAAACTGCTAACCATTATGCTTTGAGTGTTTAATAACATTTTCTGAGTCATTTTAAATTCTTTCTTACTTGTACTCTGTTTTTACCTGCATTCAGTCCTTTTCTGTTCTATATGTGAGCTGGCCACTGCTTTCACTGTCCCATAGTGAACCTGGACTACAGGAAGAAGTAGCACTTAAGACATCACACCCCACAAAGAAGACCCCTAAAGCACTTCTGTTTCCTCCTGCAAAAAAAATGCCAGCAATTTATATCATGCAGTCCTAGAGTTTGCTCTACAGCATCAGACTTCTTTGTTTGTTTGTTAACAAATGCCATTTTCAGCCACTGAAGAAAATATATTAGAAGTACACAGACTGAATATTTCTGAGCCTGCCAATACCAGAATCACTGGTACCACAGCTTGGAAAGTGAGTTCACATAAAAGCACTCACTGGAGAATACAAAGATGACCATCTGAATTGTTGTTTTACAGACAGTTATTTCTGTAGAAAGCAACTGCAAGCACTTGTTCTTAGCCCACAGTCACTGACTTATTTTTCATATTTAAATGAATGCAGTGTCTCTTTGGTAGATATAGAATTCATATTTCTCCAGGTAAGTTACCACTGAAAACACCTTCACTTTACCATGCAGTACATAGGAGCCTGCATATACCATTCCTTGGCTTGCCACCTTCAAAGAAAGTAACTGAACTTTGGTTACATGCCATTAGCATCCAAAAATACAGATAAAATCATGGATGCAGCAGAACAGCCAGCCAGCAGTCTCCATGTGGGATGTTGGGCGGCTCTCAGAAGTCAACTAAACCAAGCTAGCAGCAGCTTATAAAGATGACAGACTCTGTAACTGGTAACAAGCTAGCAGCCCCCATCAAATCCCTGCTTGCTAAGCTGCCACTGCTTCATTTGTGTTTTCTGTCCCACTGCATGACAAGCCACCTGGGGAACAGGTAAGACTTCCTTGAAGATCAATTGACTGCATTGTTCTGCAGATGCACGGTACTAAGCACCACTTGCAAAAGGACTTTTTCCTCTACAATGCTTCCAAAGCTAGAAGTAAGACCTATATAAACATGCGAGAAATCTCTGAGCGCTTCCGGCTGCCTCCCAGCGAGTATGTTATCATCCCATCCACATACGAACCCCACCAGGAGGGAGAATTCATCCTGAGGGTTTTCTCAGAGAAAAGAAGTCTTTCAGAGTAAGTTACAGATATTTCATCTGGCTCTAAAGGGGGAATTGAGCTCCCTACTCTGTTATAGCTGTGTTCCCTGCTTGCAACGCTCTACTCTTAATTTTTCTTAATCCTGTTATGAACTCCAAGATGCAAACTCATATCCCCAATATTACCTTGTAGTTTAACAAAAACCTGTTTTGAGTTTCCATTGGAGACACTGGAGACTACTGGCAGGATATCTTCTGTGAACACAATTTCTGCTGTTTTTATAATGAAAACCAACAAGTTTGTTATTTAATGCTACATGCCACTGCTACATCCCATATGGAAGTTTTTTGTCAGATAGACCACTGAGACAGATCTAATTTTGGTCATGAACAAAATCCAGAAATAGGCATTATTTCTTTCCCGTCCTGCTCTTTAAGCAGCTTCCCAAAGCTCAAACTGCAGCTAGTACCTCTTTGCTAAGGCCAAAAAACTTCTTGTTTGCTCCCCCGTCAAGATTTAGCGATGCCGAGTCTGTAAGAAGAAAGCCAGCAACAGTTTTCTTGGAAGCAATACTCGGGATGCTCAGCTCAAACTCAGAAACTACATCCAGAGTCTGAGCTGTAATGCCTGGAAGCCAGCCCACACCACTGCCTGCTTACTAACCACATATAGAAATAAACAGTGTTGGAAGCAGACTCCTTCCTGATTTATTTACTTTCTGCTTTCTTCTAGGGAGGTTGAAAACATGATTGAGGCAGATCGCCCATCAGTGAGTACCATACTGTCCTCTTTTGTGTGGGAACAGAGGGGAGGAGTGTCACATTTAGGGAAACCCATAGCAGGAAACCATTTGCAGCCACACAACAGCTCCTTCAACAAATTCCCACATTTTCTCATCAAGATATTCCTATTAACACTTGAATTTATATATGCTACTTTCTGGTTTGGACAGACCAGAATCTTTTGTCAGGTTTGAAACTTGTTCTTCACATAAAGAAGCCCCATGCCAAGCATTGCCTTTGCCTCCATCAGTTGAGAGTATTCATGCTCTGGTGGAGGCCTAGCTCCATCCTTCGGAGTGTTTTTTGTTTGAGAGCCTGGCAGCTCATCTAATTAAGAAAAAAAGTGCTTTATTTTGAAGTATGAACTTTCTGAAAAAGGATTCTAATATTATTGTGACTCAAATTAGCATCCATAACAAACTAACTCTTTAGCCTGGGGTTTTACACATTTGTGTGGGAATAAATTGGAACATAGAATACACTCAGTCTTGAAAAAAACAGAATGCTCTTGCACAGAACTGAGCTCCATCAAACCTTCAGAATCCTTCCCCTTCCATTTGTTATCGTGATACCAAAATTTCTGCCCAGATCTGATGGAATTTAATTGCCACTCCAAAAAGCATGGATATGTGGGCACAGAAGTCCAATCTACACTGCAGTGAATAGTTGGGGAAAATAAAAGTAGTTAGGGATAACAGATTTTATTCAAGCAGACAAAGCCCCAGATTAGGTGGATTGGCAATTTGATATTGCTTCTGCAATTTTAACATACTGTTTCTTCATGGCTGCATTCCCCCTTCCTTTCCCTCTCCCCCTCCCTTTTTGTTTTTTTCTTTTGTTTTTTTTCTTTTTTTTCTTTTTTGAAATTTGAAATCTGTATGAATATATAAAATTGAAGAAAAAAAAAGTATGACTACAGGAATGGGAAAAAGAAACTTGAGAAAGTGAAAGAAAAAAAATGAAACATTGCTATTTAACAATGTGATCTGGTAGAATCCATAATTCTTTTTAAACACTTTTTTCTTATTTTGTTTCTGTTTGTATAGAAGAAGAAAAAAGGCAAGGTGGGTACCTGTGCAACATGCTGAGTGCCAAAAGGCAAGATGCATGTGCAGTGAATGCAGCAGGAGTTGCTGTGCTTCTGAAGCTGATCTAGTTAATAAGGAACACTGGAGACAAGAGACCATTTTCAGGCAGCAAAGATTCTGTCCTCCTATACAAAAATCCAATGAAGTACAGCTATAGCATCAGATATTTCTCTTTCTTAAGAGGGTGGCAAAAGCATAAACCTTTCAGTTTTATGAGCTTGATCCTTTAAGTATCCTGCCTACCTGACCCTCCACAGGCATCTTGAACCTTTCCCAGTGAGAATCTCCTCTCCTCCAGACACATGCCCTCCACTGCCCAATGCAGCTACTCCTCCTTCCTGCAGCTTCTGCTCACCAGAGTCCAGGATCACCCTTTTGAGTCTACGCAATACATTTAGCAAACAAAAGAAACATACTATGAAGTTACAAGGAAAATTATCGGCTAGAGGAAGGGTATAAAAAGGCCCACAAGGGAGAGATTTTGAAGAGGAGAGTGTTGATTCTAATTTGCATTCCTCTTTCATATATACCAAAGTAGTCCACAAAACTCCATAAATCAGAGCACCACATAGAAGAGTGATCGCTGTTTCTTACAAGGACTTTGAAAATGTAACACTTTAATCTTAAGACTGGTCAATTGCAGTTATATATGTATATGTATAAATATATATATATATATATAACTGTATATATATATGCAGTTATATGTGCAGGATAACACATTCACATCTGATACCAGTTTTCCTTGTTTTAAACATACTAAAACAGAACAACTGCATGCATCTCCTTGCGGTTGAATGCCTCAGCAATTAATAAAAAACTGACACATGCCTCATGTAAATAACAAGCTCCTACACAAGCTCTGCAGATTTCTTTTTTAGCATGAGGATAGTAGCAACCTGAGAAATTCCTCTTTTATTTTGCATTCCCACATCTGGCTGCATGTGCTTTGCCACAGAATGGATGGCCTCAAATACTTTCCCTAACTCTATTTCTTGTGTAATTTCTACTTCCTCTTCTGCTCTCTTCCTTCTTCTTCTAGCCTATCATCTTTGTTTCTGACAGAGCAAACAGCAATAAGGAGCTGACAACAGACGAAGATGCTGGCAAAGATGGTGAAAAAACCCACGTAGATGAGAAAAAGGTTCTGCAGCAACTCTCAAGGCGGGGAATAATGTTTGGTCTGGCCAGCATTAAAAGGGCAGCTGGAGAGAGCACAGCAACGGGACAAATGACTGTCCTTATGATACTTACCAGTTTCAGAGTTGAGGCTGTTCTCTACATGTGTCTGAGAAAAGTGGAAATGATAACGGTGATGCTATCTAATGCAGTATTACAGCCTCCAGAACAGGGCCTCCCACGCTGCAAAATGCTCTAAAGCCACTGAGCCCATTCGAACAATTCTTAGGCTAGAGGGTAGCTATGGAGCATGTTTTCCTCTTCTGTTCCAAATATCTCCTTTGAAAACACACAACCAGAATGTAAAGATCCATTGGCAAAAGTAATCATTTAGATTTGTGTCAAGACTTACGGGAACAACGAGGGGATGGTAATGATGCAGCAGGTTCACTAGGGAGGGCATTTAATGAAAGAAAGGGGAGAAGTCCATGAGGATAACTTGTTCCTCTGAAGAGTGCCACTATCGCTAAGAGCCTTATTTGTGTGAAGGGGGTGAACCACCCAGATCCCTTCCTTTTCCTGCAAAGCTAACATTGCACGTGTTCTTTGCTTGTATCTTTCCAGCGGTCTTCAGCGAAAGCTCGTGAGAAGAGTGAAGAGGAAACACAGTTCAGGAATATTTTCCGACAGATTGCAGGGGATGTGAGTACACAATCAATCCCTACCTCTGCAGAACAGCTAAGCCACAGCAGCACCTAATCCAGCTTCTTCACAGATTCAAAACATGGAAAACTGAAATTTTCCTTCACCAAATTTCCTTTGGGAGCTGAAGTTAAGCAAAATCAAATGGAAATTCAGTTAAGCACACAGCTATGCCCAAATGTATATGCAACTTATTTTCATTGCGTACAAAAATTTTTAAATTTGTGTTCTTACTTCAATCACTACTGTGTGGAGCTATTCATGATTTCTTAATCAGTATTGCGTAGTACGTATAAGTAATGCATAGATACATGTATGTATCTGCACTAAAGAAATCAGAACAGATCAAAACTGCACAAAACAAGAGGCTGCAGAAGGGTTGCAGAGATTTTCACATTTTGCTTATGCTTTGGCTTGGAATTACTGCCTGTTTTCCCAATGTTTTTCTAATAAATACCGTGCAATCACTTTAGATTTGCTTCATACTGAAGGTGTAGCTGTGGCCTCAAGAAAAATTATACAAAGATAGAAAGCTCTCTATTTTGGATCACACGCCATGATGAAAAGTGACCAGAGACTTCATACTTCTAGTATATCCATTCATATAATGATTTTCATAATGAGGAATGTTGCAATTAATGATACCGTCCCCATGTTTCCCACCAGGACATGGAGATCAATGCCGAAGAACTCAGGAATGTTCTCAACAACGTTGTTAAAAAACGTGAGTTTGAATGTGCTTTTCAGTAACCCCAGATAAAGACAGTTATGATATAACATACATCCCCACCCTTGAGCAATATTCTCAAAATTATGTATGGTTTCAAATTCACAGCTTTTCTACTTTCACTTCTGCAGTCTTTAGCTAGAAAACTTTACACAGAGATGGTCTGTATGGCTGATCAGATATGGATAATACAGAAACGAGCAAAAATTCATTGGAAGCACCACATGGGTTAATAAACATTTCTAGCAGACTGCAAGGTCCCTTTAAAGAAGTTCTAATAGAGGGAAGGAACTTTCTTCCCATTTAGCAATTATTTTAGCCTACAAACCCTAGGCTTGCTTAGTTAACTGGAAATTGATTTAGATTTTCCAAAGGCTTTTATTGTATACAGCAGGTCCCAACTCACCTATGAAACACAAGCAATACTGTTACTCAGAGCCCTTACAGATATTTTTTCTCACTTATTCCTCATGGGATGAATTAAGTCAGTTTGGCTTATACTTTGAGTACTCAGAGCCCTACCTAAGAGGAAGAAGCGACTGCTGACTTACATGGTCTTTTGTATCATTTATTTCAGATAAGGACCTAAAGACAGAAGGATTTGAACTAGAATCTTGCCGCAGCATGATTGCTTTGATGGATGTATCCTTTGCCAGTGAAAGAGGAGTGCCTGATAGCACACTGCTCCACCTGAGTTTTACTCCCTGACCACACACACACAAATTGTTTTTAGTAAGCTGGAAAGCAGGCCAGTGTGTTACAGCTGTTATCAGATAACCCAGCATTCCAGGGTGGCACACATTAACTGCAGTCATCTCAATGTTAGCATAGCTGGCAGATGAAAACATATCAAAACACAGAACTATGGAGTAAGTATGATGCCCTTTCTTTAAGTCATCTCAACAGAACTACAGTTCTTGCCAACAAAATCACTCTCTCTTCTCTTTACATTTTCAACACATCACACATTCCACCTTGTGCTTAGCACTCAGCATATAGCAGCTCTCTCGGAGCAAGTACAATAAAACACTTTGCAAGATGTCACATGGCATTACCTCCAATGCAGCACCACTCAGTTTTACTACCTAAGGAGGAAAACATATATGTTTCCATATGCTTCCATAACATATGATTTTGAAGGAACATAAGCACATTCAAACCAGACAAGACCAAGCTTATAATTACAGCCTAGAACCATAATGGCACTTGGAAAAAGCCGCTAAAACACGCTGCTTTATGTACATTACAACAGCTCCAGGAGCAACTCTCCTGCCTGTATTAGAGGTTTATTACTACACAGGGAAATAACGCTTCACAATCCCAAAACAAAATAACACTCTCAATAACCAAAGCGCTCACCAACACTTTACTGTGCCATTCAGCCCTCTCTCAGTGCTCAAATCTGAGCTGGGTTTCACACTCGCCCCTCTCACCCATAAAAATAATTAGTTTTCCATTTAAAATATTGGTTTTTTTACCTGAATGCTTGCATTGCAGACAGATGGCTCAGGGAAGATCAACTTTGATGAGTTCCGACACCTCTGGGACAAAATCAAAAGCTGGCAGGTAGTGCTGCTCTTCATAGCTCCACAATGCAAAATCTTGCGGAGAGAAACCAGACCTTATTACGTACCCTACACCAAAAAAGCTCCCAGAATTGCAAACTAGTTTTTAAGATGAAGACTAATGTCTTCCTTCAGCCTTTTCTTAGCCTAAGCAAACATCTAGAGCTGCAGCATTCATGTGAGGAGATTCCCCCCTAAGAAAGGGGGAGGCACGCAAGATGGAGGAGGAGGATGGGAAATAGAGCCAGGCACTGCAATTAGCTTAATTAGGGCAATTAAGAGAGAGGATTAACAGCATAAACTCAAGTCAAATGAGGAAGGTCTCTGGGGGGAAAAGTTTTTTCTTCTCACAGCACAGATCTAACTCACGTGTCAGGAGTGAGGGGAGCTGTGTGTGAACAACACAGATTGCTGAACAGCAGCCATGGTGATATAAGGCAAAGCCTCCAGGTGCTGCAGGGTAGCTCTCACATCAGCAGGCATGTCCTACAAAAGTATAAGCTATAATTTCTGCTGTGTACTTCCTTTTTGCAGAAAATCTTCAAGCATTACGATGCTGACCATTCAGGAAACATTAACAGCTATGAGATGCGCAATGCAGTCAAAGATGCAGGTAATTCCCCCTGTGTCCAATGCCCAGCAGCCAAATAAACCTTCTTTAGGTTGATGTATTACAGAGAGAGGTCAGGAATACAGCCCAGCCTTTTAAGGAGGGGCCCTAGAAAAATTTTTTTTTTTTTCCTCCAGCAGAAGTTCTCAAATATATCTCAGTCTCAAAAATGATCAAAATCAAAGAAGTACTAAGTCAGCACTCACACTTGCCTAATTTTACCCTTTTAATTTGAGCAGAATTTGTGTAACATCTGTGCAACTCCACTAAGAGCACACGGGATGTGCATCAGGGAGCCCACCTGGGTGCAAGTTAGCTTTCAATGATGCAGTCAGCCATCAAAATTACCTACTTGCTCTCATTTAAGCTGTAGATCCTTTATTGTTGTAAAAGGAACAATCAAACCCATTTCTGGCCCCACTGCAGGGTTTCGGCTGAACAACCAGCTCTATGACATCATCACGATGCGCTACGCTGACAAGAACATGAACATCGACTTTGACAGCTTCATCTGCTGCTTTGTGAGACTGGATGCTATGTTCAGTGAGTGGCTGCCTTCATTTTACAGCCTTGTCCTCTTCCCTGCCCCCAAACACACTCTGATATTTAAAGGAGAGTTTATTATACACAGCACTATTGTCTATGTATAATTTTAATAATGCATGATGTGTGCTAGGTTATGACATCCATCCCATACAAACACAAAAAATAATAAGCCATTATGTATCTCCTTGTATTAGCTATGGAAAAAGCATAGCAGAAACACTTGCTGACCAAAAAAGCAAACACGTGCACAAGTTTGGATAACGCAGTGGGAACGTGATTTAGTTTGCTGCATGGGATCATCCTTACACTTTGGTTAAACAATAATTTATCCTGTGTATTTTTCTGTCATTGATTTAGGGGCATTCCATGCCTTTGATAAAGATGGAGATGGAATCATAAAACTCAATGTCCTGGAGGTAAACTGCTTTATGTTGCTATTTCCAACATGACACCCCAGTACTACATTATTAATTCCCAGCACTGTCTCACACATTCAAGTTGGCCTGATATTTAATTCCTTCTCTTCCTTAGTGGCTGCAGCTCACCATGTACGCCTAACATCAAGGAGAGCCTTAATCAAGGACCTGCTCCAGATTGCTGTTTTAAGTAATGAACTCCATCCATCCCCCATTACAAATGAGCATTTTGCAAGATTCCTGCTTTGCTCACCAAAGATAAAACATGCGTGAAAGAATGAAGACACAGCCACGCTGCAGCAAGCAAAGCAGTGCTCACTTCCTGTACCTACTGCTGTAGTATCTCCAGGACATTTACATTCAACCATGAGGATTAATTTATTGATGACTGTATTTAGGTTTTCCTGCATGTTAAGACACAGAGCATACACCTTAACTCTGTTTATATTGACAGTTGGAAGCACCATCTCTATAGTCAGTACAGATCAGGTAAAACTGGGCCTGGATCTGAACTGTGCAAGTCAAAAGCGTCTCCTACCACCTTGTAATTAGTCATTAACTCTGTTCTGATGTTGCTACTCCCATTTCAGCCTTTTCATGTTGTTAACTATTTCACTGAGATTGTGCTAATTACATTAATGAGTCATGATCACATATGTCTTTACAACTGTAGCTTTGTGGGTTGATCCTCTGTTGTGCTGGAAAAGTGGGCACCATGCACAGCAGTCTGCAGTGTCTGTGTAACCTTGCTCTGATGCCTCAGTAGAAGCAGCAGAACTAAACTACTTGCTCTCATTTTTAGTATCGCCATGCTACCATGCTTGGACATACAATAGTTTTAGAGTGCTGTTTTTTTGGTGTTTGTTTGGTTGTTGTTTTTTTTTTTTGTTTTTGTTTTGTTTTTTTGTTTTTAATTGTAGCCCATTCTCTGTAACATTGAGAAAGTGGTTTTCCGCTTTCAAGGAAGCAGTTCAAGAAAGAAAAAAACACATAAAGTATACATTAATTACATATGCACACTTGTCTTCAGGGTCCTATTTTTCTTAACTAACAGTTTCTGGGTTCTCTTTTCATCTCAGAACTGCCCAGACCCCAACACAGGCAGAGTACTGAGCACTGTCCCATCATTCTTCTGGAGCTAGAGCAGCTGGTTTTATCACAGACACTTACTGGCTTACTTCAGATGCACTGTAAAACGTGAGCTTGATGGGCTTTCAGAACTGGTCAGTGATCAGCACAAAAATGGATAGAAAAACAGCAACAACACAGAGCACAAAGGCCAGACTTTATCAGGAGAACTTCTGAGAGGAAAGCCACTCTCAAACACATGGTCACAAGGCAGAGGATGACAGGGCTAAAAAGCAGCAGCAGAAAGCAATCTGCTACAGTAAAGCAAAACTACAAAAACAAATCTTGGCATCTACCCAACATTATTCTGATAGTTTGTACATTTGACTGAGGGATCACTAAGAAACACACAAACCTTTTGACTATATAGAGTTCTTAATATTATTGTCTTGTACTGTAACTTCCTCTGAAAGAAGAAGAGAATCATAGTTTATGTAATGAGTTAACCTTTAAGCTCAGCTTTTGTTTTAACCCAACCTAAGTCTCCATGATGACTGGAATACTAGGAGCCCCGGGTTCCAGCCATGCATTGTCTCCACTACGCTGTTATTTTCCATACAAAAATAAGGCAGTTGCTCTTGGTTGGGGTCTTCACAGAAAAACAAAGTCTACCAGTCAAAAGATCTGGATTTTTTGACTGGCAATTGAAACTGGCTCTAAACCTCCCAGTGAGTGAAAACCAGTTCTAGAGAACCTCCCTTTGCAACAAGCCATGAAGCAAGCCTGTCTCAGTGCATTGTCTTGTGGCCTCTGTTGGGTGGATGGTTTCCATCTTTCCTGCTGAACTATGACATCTTCGATTCCTGCACCCTGCAAGCAGAAAACTGCATCAGCCCTCTCTGTCAGCACTGAAGCTTGGCCACTGCAGCATAAAATACACAGCTCCAGAACAGCCTGGCTGACTTCAGCCAGCCACAAAGGGAACATCATGTTGTACTTTACTGAACCCTGTGACAGAATCTTTCTATTCCAAACAAAGAAGACTGACAAACCATAAACAATATAAAGAACTTTTATTTTTATTTTCTTTTCATTTTTTGGCTGTGTGAAGTTTCATTATTACACTCACAGTTTCGTACCAAAATGAAAGAGGAAAAGCAAGGTCAATCTGTGCAAATGTTCTACACAGCTTAAGTCATTACTCAACCATGTTGTTTTATTCCACTTTAAAAACTTATTAATATTTGCAGCCAAATGAAATTTGAGAAGCTGGCAGGTGCATATGACAGAATATATACCTACACAGTTTGCTCTTTCACCATTGAATATTTTACAATTAGCAGCTGATACCGTTTCCTTATCCTTCCTCATATATTCTGCAATTCTGGACAACTTAAGACTATGTTTGAACTATAGTACCATAAAAGCCTGAAAACCAAGATCTATCCAGACCTACACTTTAATTTTAGAGAATGAAAAAAATCTTTCCAGCACCACGCTTTTATTTCTGGGAACCTACAGTTTGTAAGCTTTCAGTCATTGTTTACCATGATTTAGCACAAGTACATGGTTTGTAAGTGTGCACAAAGACCTGCACTACTTCAGCACAGCACAGAGCTGAACTGTTTGGAAGGTCCACAACCACACACCTTAATCAAGGCAAGCAGAAGCTGGGGTATGTAATGCATCTTCATACAAACAGATGCAAGTTTCCCCTCTGGCCCCTTCCAGACAGGGAAGCAACAGCACTAGGCCATGCAGTGCTGCGCTGTCAGTTAGCTATTATTTTTCCTTTGATTTGAAGGAAAATGTAGCAAATAATACCAGTCTAAGCACTGTTTTTTGATTCAACACATGTGAGCATGTCAGATAAAGCTTTGTGGCACATTTGAACTTTTGAAGTGATTATTTTATGCTACTTGCACTCTTCTTTTTGAGCTTGGGTAGGGCTTAATATAAGCGCACCACAACACATTTCCCCACTTTTGAAAAGAATGATATCTAACTGGTTTCAGTAAAGCCTCTCCCATCTCCATATTACAAAAGATACATACAGTAGCTCTGAGCACTTCATGCCCATTGAGGACTCACAGCTGAACAAGCAGCATTGCACTGCTAAGAAGAGAACGGTGACTTCCACCCACGTTCCCTCAGCATTCTGCAAGTCCAGAGCTCATATCTAACATTTGACTAATGAAATAAAACAGCTAACCGTAAAAATCAACCCTCACTTCACTCACTCTTCTACACCCACAACTCCTTAGTTGTATAAAAACCAAATCCATAACAAAAACAGTCCTGAAAACTGGCTTCAGATGTGTAGTGCTGCTTCTCACACGGAAGTTGCCCCACTCATGTTTCACAATGGCCCTTCCTGACCACTCTCTGACCAGAGGTATACCACAAGTCAGAACCCCCAGTTGCAAACCTGGAGAGGACCTCATCAATGGTTGCCAATCGAACACACCAATTTACCATTGCTCTTCTGCAACCACATGTGGAGGAAACAAACAGCCATTAATGGAAGCTGCATTCCCCACAGAAGTCCATGGAAGTATGTGGAATTTCATATCTGCATGACAACTTCCTAGCAAATCCTGTTAAGATAACCTCATGACAAAGCAGCACAACATTTCATCTGAGCCCTTGAGTAATATACATATCTTTTTATACATACAAAGCAAAATTGATAAGCACTCATGCAGCTCTGCTATTTTCCTGTCTCTTATCCATTTTAAAGATTCTGAAAATGGATCTGTAATCACCTATGAAGTAGCAAAAGACACCACTGCTAAAGCCGGATTTCCGAAGTCCAAAATTTTGGATCGGACTGTTTTTAAGAACAGAGAAGGAAATATCACTGACTACAAGAAAAGTCTCCTTTTACACCATCTAAAAAAGATCAACACAATAACTAACCAGGAATGCAAATAAAGTGTAATAACTGCCTTTGTTGCAACATTTAGTGAGAAAGATCTCTGCATGTTCCTGAAAACAAAGGCATCAGCTGAGAGGATAAGAATCACCAAGTTCAAAATCTACTTTCACACACAACGTTTAGTGATAGAACCACTCCACATGCTTGTCCTTTGACCACAGAGCTCCACACCATCACTTCAGTAACAACTTATGAAGAATAGCTCAAAAAGTCAATATTGTTTCCTTCCATACTTCTACATCTCCCTCACTGGGGTTCAAAAAAACCTCTTTAATATCAGTCATGGTGGAAATAGTTTAAGTCATATGAAACCCTCTACTTATTAAAAAAAAAAAAAAAAAAACAAAATAATATCTCAAACACTCTCGGAGATTCCAGAGCAATAAAGCAGAAAACAATGCATTTCCCCCCCCCCTCTAAAAAATACATAAAACTCTCAAAGCTGCCTTGAGTCTAAGTCACATATTGCTTTTATTTCTCCTGTCTACAAACATCTTCATAAAAACAAAAACAAACAACAGCAACAAAAAAACACCTCCAAAAAAATCACCTAAAGAACTACAAAAAGCATTGGAACCTCAAGAATTCCTATGTCTGAAGTAGGATTCTGTTGTATATTGTTCCTACTTTATTCCTGTCTTTCTCAAGAAAAAAAAACATCAATGTCAAGCAAACACAGAGGAATTATGCTTGTGCAATAACACAATATTAACATTGTGCGCTTCAGAGAAGGCCCTGAAGTCCCTTGACTTGATAGCAGAGCTGAACATCAATGGGCCTCCTTCAGTCAGTCTTGGCCTAAAAAGATTTTGTTGCAGTCAAAGAATGAAGCTACAAAATACATTTGGTCTATGGATAGCATAGGAAGTCTTGAACGGATGGTTAAAGAGATGTCCACTGAAAGCAGTACATTCACTTTGAAAAGCATTGGATATGCTTATAAGTGACTCAGTTTTGACACTGGAATATCTTTATCTTCTGCTACATTTTAAGGAGACTCCTGCTTTTTTTTTTTTTTTTTAATTAAGCAGAAGGCTAGTCAAACACCAACAAAAAGGTTTTTGGCAGATTAGTTTCATTGTTTAAGAGACTTCTTCGCCAGATTCATCTTACTTTAAAAAGCATCACAAATGCAAAAGTTAAATTTCACTGAACACAATAGAAAAATGAGGTCAAGTCTGCAACCCTAAGAGACAGCAGCAGAGGCACCTGCACAAGTAGAGACTCTTCCACTTTGCACTGGCTTCCCTGTGTCCATTACGTACATTTCTGGAAACAAGATAATTTTTTCTATTAAACATGCATTTCGTATCCCCAGCTTCTGCTTGAGAATTTTAGACCTAAAAATCATAGAACCCTGTTGACTTTTTGTGAACTTAATACAGCAAATTAAGCCAGTTCACAACAGAAACAAAATAACACTAGATCTAAATTCTTCTACTTTATAGTGACTTTGAACTTCTATTTGTTTGCTTTGTAATAAAGATACAGGATTACGGAATTCCAAAGGAATCACATAAGGAATCCAACTCTGGTGATGTATCAAATAATAGTGGTTACACTGAGAAACAAAAGCTGATACTGGTTTCTCCCTTCCTGCACATTAGGACCTACGAGAGACTAAGATTGAAAGGGATGAGAGCAGAGCTGTTCTGCTGCTGCTCGCATACCTGTCAAAGGACTGCTTTCCTCCAAAGAAAACATCAAAACACCTCAAGAGGTGTAATATTTAGGGTAGCCTGTCACCATATATATTGTGGCAATTATAGAAATTTTTTAGACAAAGATTAAAATATAAATTACAGTTAACGTTAAAAAACTCATTCCAGTTCTCCATAAAATACCATTTCTTTTTATGAAGAAAGCCAATATGTATTCTGCCAGATTTTTTGATGTTCTGGTTTGCAGATTTTTATTAAAATCAGCAAAAATAGATATAATAAAAACAGGCATGTTTTAGTTAGACACTTAACAGGTTTCAAGCTGAGTGTGTAAATACCAGCACCCATCGTCATCTAACTTCTAAACACCCCTCTGCACTTCCCAAACATTCTCAAGAACATACTTCATAAAAGAAGGCAGATGAGGGGGGAAAATAGTCTTATTTGTCAACAAATTGAAAACTTGACAGAATCTTACATTTGGGCCACTTCTTAAGTGACCAGCCTTATGTCTACAGCATGTAACATAACCTGCAGCTCTGTAGCAAGGCTTTTCAGCTCCATTTCCTTTTTACATTCCAAGTAGTAAAAGCAAGAGAAAAGACTGGAGTAAGAAACTGATGTTATTTGGAATAATCTTGACATGAATTACTTCCCAATGTGGGAGGTGAAAAGTTTCATGAGTCAACCCTGCTGTCATCCTCAGCATGTCTTTCAATGTGTCCCACAGCATCCTAGAAAAGGAACAAAGAAGTCACTGAAAAAAATGACAAAAACTAAAAGATTCTATAAGCCTCAGTAAAGGTGACACTCTGGATAAAGTAAATTTTTGGCATAAGCCTTCTTAAAAATTAACACCAAGCTATTATAATTTACATAAAATCTTGTGCACCACATGATTCAAAGAAAACAGAACAAGAGCTTCCTTTCTGACAGGAAAGCCTTACCAAGTAAATGCATCCTATCCAAAAAAAGTGCTTAAACTGAAATTAAGGACTCTACTTCTGTTTTTCAGTTCTAAAAGAAACTTTCTTCTATTGTGTATTATCAAAAGCATTCAACAGGGAGGCACAGTATATTGCCATAGAGTAAAGCATGGATTTTACATATCAACATGAATGGCACAACCTTCCTACTCCTCCTAACTCTTTCCTCATGACCTTGATCAAGCTAGACTCCAACTCTCAAGCCTTCTTCAGTTTTGACATCTGTGCTGGCATTAACATAGAATGTTACAATTACACAGACTGTTACCAAAACCAGTCTCCAGCAAAGAGTACACAGCAACAGTATCCACAGAAATTGCATGTACAGATAAAAGTTAAATAAATATATTTCAAACTGATATTTGTTCATCTTAAACAGTAAACTATACCACAAAAACTTAACATCTTAAGTATAGTTACCAGAATTGCTTGTGGCATTGCAAGAGTTTTATCACTTCCATATAAGATTTTAAACCAAACTATTTTAAGTTTACCATATCTCAAGTTATACATCAGTGCACTCCTTACCTGTTACAAGCTGAACCCTGTTAGCCTTGTATGGTCTAACTACATTCAGTTAGGCTATTAAAAACAGAAGAATTTATTAATCTTTAAGAGAAGTGGAAGTCCCATAATTGTGTTGACAGCATGTACTTCATATTTAGGTGTGGGAGTTGTTTTTTTTTTTTTTTTTTTTTTTTTAAACCTTTCTAGTATAGTACCAAAAAAAAACTTGAATAAAATACCTGCTTGGAACCTTTCCTGGAAGTAAAGAAAGCATCACAGTTCTTCCAACGACATTTTAAGGTCTGAAAATTTGGGTTGGTGTGGTCAGTTAGCAAGTGTTGTTTCAGGTGGTCAACAACTCCAAAGATCAGTGAACATCCATGCCACTGGTAGAAAAAAAAAAAAAAGCATACCCAAAAATCACCCAGGGGAAAAAAAAAGTAGTTAATCCATTTATTCTTGCAACTTAACAATATTCAACAAGGATTGTTCTCACACATGCCTCCTCTAACTTCTTAATGTTCTTATTCCATACATTCTCAGTGAACTCTCTTCATTCAGTTATAAGCCTGAGATTTTTCCTGCTTCTAGTCATCATTCAAGATCATCAGCAAGAATGGGTTTAGGAAAACAAGGCCTTGCCTTTACAGAACTTCAGCTTTCCGGAGACAGAGCCATTGTTTTGTTGGTTTGTTTTTTTCCTGCTCTTTTAACAATTTTCATGCCACTATCTAAAGATCATCCAAAAGAAAAATAGTTCTAAGATGCTACCATTGACTTGCCCCCAAAGCATGAGAAATACAACTACCAGTATATACTCAAAGTGATATTTAAAAGATTGAACTGTAATACATTAAAGGTCAAGCTACCCAAGGTTGAATAGTGACCATCTCTAGAAATCAGTATAAAAGCTATACCAAAGAGAGGCCAAAGATGTTTTGCTCATTACCCAGCAACGATAGTTCTGCATCAGATTAAGCCTCACAGCTCTGACGCTGCCATCATAACATCCAGTGTAGATCTGTAAAAGAAGTATTTATGAAGAAAAAAGCTGGGAATAGAAAGAATGAAATCAAGTTTTGAAGGTTTCAGGGTAGAATATATTAGATGTAAGATTCTTGTAGTCATACATTATTTAAACCAATAATACAGAGAACCATACAAACTGGAAGTTTTATTTATTTCAAGTCCTTCTGCCTATTGGAAATGCATCACTAGGATATAACAACGAATTTGCTGTGGGTGACAGACTACAACTTCCTTTTTTGACTACCACAGAAAATTACTGTCCTTCACTCTTCAATAAAGCCACTTATCTGGATGCTTCTTTGATTTCAGAATGCCCAGAATGGATTATTACAGCAGGACTACTCAAGTTTCAGACTGAAAGGACAAAGCTTGGCTGCACTTAACTCTCCATCTCTCTCATATGAGAAGTGAAGCTTGGGCCATAGGTATTCCAATACATAGATCAATTCTGTTTTTACAGATAACGACCATGACCTTTTAACATATCCTATAAGCTGAAAGTAAGTTAGCAAACAAATTCCTACACATCATGCAGATAAGTACTTTTACTGACTATTTTATGCAAATACTTATCCAGAAGTGTTTCTGAACTCTACCTTGCCTGAAGAAATAAGTCTGTGCACTTAACACAAGTGCATATCTTTGTGTAAGTTCTTTCAAAAGTTACCCATTCAATAATATTACACAAACACAAGGCTGCTGTAACAACTTGATTTTTTGGCTGACATTTGTGAATACCTCTGCCTTAGCTGAAGAACAAATTCATTTCATTATCTGAGGAAAAAATAAAGTTGTCTAAATGGTTTCGGAAAATACAACTTCCTATTTGAGATCAGTGAGAAGAGGGAAGTTACCATGCTCTTATGGATGGTCATGCACATGATCATATCTGAATGGCCTCCATAAACTTGCAAGCGGTCATGTGACTTGAAAGAAAGAGAAACAGACATTTACTGGCACAATAGTTAACAGTTATTTTTCACAGACATGCAAGTGACAATGCTTCCAAAAGCAGTTTCCTAGGTAGCAATCAACACTCCACCCAGTGGATATTCCAAGTTCTGTAGGCACAATGAAAGCTCTCTATTTTCCATTACTTCTGTGATTCCTTCTGTTGGGTTTGATCTTTCAAGAAGATGAAGTCACTTTCCCACTTCTTTGAGCTGAAATTATCATTGGATAACAATAGTTGAGGTTATGCTCTTTTAAAACTCACGCATTTTGGCTGCAAATTCTGAGTGGGCCAGAGACCAGTAAGCACAAAGATGACTTTAACACATTTAACACATAAGGTAGATTAATAACCATCTATACTCTTACCTGTAGTTCATAAACACGAACAAATTTATCGAGGCATGCTGTTACCATCACTTTCCCCAGAATGTTCACAACCGTTACTGCATGGTTATGACCTTTATAGATCCGTACCAGTTCTCCAGTCTGTGCCAAGAACAAGGAGAGCCAAGCAGCTTATCATTTTTAGTGAAACAAAACTGTTTTAGTTTCACTTTGAATTGCTAGCTTCAACCCTCACCAATCACAGAACAGATATATCCTTTATTAAACTTCCATTTCTTACAAAAGCACTTACAGATTATGATAAAGAATATTTTCTTTGCTTAAGTTAACAAGGAGTCACTGCAGTCCAATAGAAATGCACATCACTATGAGATATCTACTTCCCCTCTTTCCATTATTATCTACATGTTCCCATCTACCCTGCAATTGGTACTGTGCTGATCAGTACCAGTAGTATTTATGTAGCCACAAGGACCATTGAGCAAATTTAGCTAAATACACAAATATACTTTTTTTCCCCTGTCAATTAACTGAAAATGTGGTAAGTTTTAGTCTCATTCATTGCATAGCTACAGAAACCCCTTCCACATTATCAGTAGCTTTGTAGAAATATTCACAAAAAAAAGAGCCCCTGATAAAAGGGTGTTATATACCATATTGAGTGTGTCAACACATTTAACAATGTTTCCTAAAGCATTTTACCCCATGCATCCCCCCTTTACGGTAGTGCATAGTCACATTAAATAAAGAACAGAAACATATGGTTTTCTTCTCTGGTTATTTTTTTTCTACCACCAGTCATAATTATTTGCAATATTGACATTGTAGCACAGGTTTTCACTGCCTTAACAGAAGTTATTCCAGCTTTATAGAGAAAGACTTACATGAATGTTGTGGGCGTGGACAGACTGGTCACTGGAACCACTGAACACCAGATCATTCACAACCTTCAAAAAAAAAAAAAAGTGTTATTTCTACTCACTTCTATGTAATAACATGGAAGTAGCCAAATGAAACATTCTGATTAAAGTTCAGAACATTCTGATTCATGATTGAAGTTGCAAAATAATATTTCCTGTATCTGACAGATAAGAAAAATCAACCGAGTACAAAAAAAACGCATGCACCAAGTTAATTGAGAGCTAGGAAGTATGTTAAGCTATCCTAATGATAATTTGATACTTCACAACTGACATTAGAAGCCCACCAGGCTAATTTATCCTGCAGGCTACTCTCTGAGGGCTAACTGAGCTCCAGATCCAGGACCAAGTGAACCAAATACAGAATGCTGTCCCCACATGCACGATAAAACCTAATGCTTCCTGTTACTGCTGAATCTGCTGTGTGCATTTGTTATAGAAGACAGTGTTCCCAACAAGTATCAGTCTAGAAAGGATGCTAAACAGTTCCACCATGGATCAAGAAGGAACCACAATACACTGACATGCATGCTGGACTAGGGCAGAGAGTTCACAAGGAAAAACACACCATGTCAGTGAACCACATCCAAGACAACAAGGACTGCGTATGGAACAGTCATCCCCTATTTATAGATGACTGTGGTTAGAGCAAAGCAGCCAGACAAGCATATACACCAACTTCAGACAATACGTTACATCAGACCAAACAAAGTAACCATCAAATGGGCAGGCTTATGTCATTCATAATGACAAAATTAAAACAATTTTCTTAACATGAACAGAGCCATTCAATCTGAAATACAATATATGCCACCTGAAGACTGTTCATTGACAGGAAAGCTGGCTCTGGCTATACCAGTAACAGAGTCCTGTTAGTAGTATCCTGAAATTATGTCCACATTCAGCAGCTCAAAAATTTCAAGCCTAGACTTAAGGAAAAAAATTATGCAAAAAGCATATTTTAGTTCAGAATAAATAGCGATTCTTCTACTGAAGGATAGTTTTCTAGATACTTTTTTTTCCAGTTTCCTGAGAGGTTTCTACAATTAAGGTATGTGAAAACTAGCTTCACCTTTTTACCAACTTTTCCTCCATTCTTTCATTCTGGGGATCTCACACTTCAAGATTCCCTGAAATTGTTTAATAACAAGAAACAAATGTGCTTCCTACAAACATAAACATCAGCTTCTACAGCATGATGACAGTTTTCCTAACAAACCATTGTTATCTTTTGAAATGGAGAAGGCATCTCTTGTCTACCACAATCTGCTAATTATTAGATGAAGGAAAAAGATGACAGTATACAGCAAAAGAAAGTTATGACAATGCCTTCAAATGGGACACAGGCAATACAGAGCAATAGCAGGTAATAAGGAAAATTGGCTGACCCCTTATGATGACAGTAATAGCTCAAGAGAAGCAAAATCCCTATTCACAGAGATGCTGTTCCCTCGACTGCTAACCCTTGAAAATAAGGGTGGGGAGGGGTGGATCCACACTCCACCCCTTCTGGTCACTCAGGTAAGTTGCTTGCACCTGAGCACCTTGAGTTAGCCACACCTTCTCACCTGGTGCTCAACCATTGGTTCAGGCTGTGATCTGGCAATTCCATTGCCCAGTTCTAAGGATCCTTTGTCAAAAAACATTTTTGGGAAACACTTGCCTTCATGCAGAGTATAGTTTTGCTGTGACCTTCGAGAGTTCTGAGAAGCAACCCATTCCGCGCATCTCGTACGCTGATGGTGCAGTCATAGGAGCCCACTACCAACAGCTTGCGTGCTCCTTCCTGAGCTGTGGCCAAGCAGCTCACTGCTCTAGGGCTGTGGCATTCAAAGGTATCAACTTTCTTGTTGTTCTGTTGGAGTGGAAAAATTGGTATTTAAGAACTAAAACTTTGCTATGACTAACTAGAAATTAAGTTTCCAAATCAAGGAAGTAATTCCTTTAACTGGGCTTTAAAGCAAAACAAAAAAAGTAATTAAGGAAAAGCCCAGTAAATCCCCCTTCAGAGTTAGAAAAAGGAGAGCAAAAAGCATTCATTGAGAAAAAACATATACAGGTACATATATCAGCTTTCAAAACTCATTAATGAAACCAAAACACCAGACCAGTTAAGAGAAAAGCAATTGGAGAACAGGGGAGAAGGGATAAGAAAGATTAAGAAGGACTAAAGTGACTATTTATATCAAAATACCTAAGTTACAAATACACATATTACTCAAGAGAAAGGACTGAAAGAAAAAAGCCCACTCCAATGCAGTTTTCACTTCGTTTAAGTGCCAATATTCAAACAAACCAACCTTTATGCTGAATGTAACCACACTGCCATTTGCAAGGCCTGCGTAAAGGATCCGCCATCTGCTGTGTAAACAGAGCACCCGATCTTCCAGTTTAAACTGTTCCATGCATTCTTTGGTCTGACAATAGAAATAATTATTTAAAGCTTTTCATCAACTGAAAACAGTTCAGAGACAAAAAAAAAAGTCTGGAGTGAATGATGATTTTCACCTAAGACTACATTTTTTGAACTAGCAGAGCTGAAGAAAAACATCTCAATACCTGGTGTCACCCAGCAGTCTGATCCTGTTGTGTTTTTTTTTTTTTATCTGCTCATTCCTATATTTGGGACTTGATGGTACTTAAGCAACTAGCTGTAGTATCTATAGCACTAAAAGATTTCTTCTAGCCACATATATACCGGCTTAGAGTAGGTATATGAAAAACACCCTGTTACAAGCTTGAGTTCAAGGAATACCCATGAAGTCCTCTACAGGAACATGCCATGAATCATCATCTGAAGTGTCAAAAGCATCTGGCAGTTTACTCCCAAAAGCAGATATTTACCTTCCAGTCCTTAAATCTAAGAGGGCTGCCCTGAAAGTAATGCCTCCTATTTTATCATGTTAGCCCACAACATCAGAGGCAATGGTGGTTGGCAATAGAGGCAAACTACCCAATATTCCATTACATTCTGTTGCCTTGCGACAGATGGCAGCAGAAGAGCAGTCTGACAATATGATGCCTGACATGGAAGTGCATATGAAACACAGGTGTCACTGATTTCCCACATATGGAGAAAATGGCACCCACAGACATTCACTGATGCTTGCTGAACATTTATGGAGATCAAACAGAGGATGTGAGCACAGTCAGGCTGCAAGTGCTGCATTTCAGCAGTGGTAACAGGAAGGTGAAAGACAAGTCACATTCCAGATGTCCATGCATAGCTGTCACCTCTACTGGTACTGGCTTTTATAAGCATAGTATGCAGGCTCTTGTTTATTACTGGAAAAAATGCACAGCTAATGGTGGTGACTATCTTCAAATAGAGTTTTGCAGCTGAGAATTTGCTCTATCAAATCACAATTAGTATTATTGTGCCCTTTGCATCTACTCTAATCTCCACTGAAATAGTTGGGAGGCATTACTTGTGGAGTGATGAGCGTACACGTAGAACAAGCCTTCCTACTGTTTATCTTTCAAATTCCAGCTTCAAAAATCCTCAGCCTTCTGTGCCTGTTCTATCAAAAGCTGTTCTGTAAGGAGAACTACATTTTATATCAGAAATAAAATTAGAGATACAGTGAATTCAAAATTCAGACAGACGTCCATCCCGCATATTTGCATTCCCAATATGAGGTCTCATCATGCTGTTCTGACAAGGAGTCCACTGATAAACCAGGAGATTACCTTTTTTTTTTTTCCATTTTTTTCTTCCTGCTTTGCTCTAAGGAGGTATGAAGTAAAGCTCATATATAGCTTACCAGGTTTTAAATGACTTATTTCATTTATATTTGCAAAGAGTCATTGCATAACAAAGAAGTACATGTTCATCAACACAGAATTGAAGTACCTTGATACTGTAACAGTTGATGGTGTGATCACTTGAGCCAGTGTAAAGCGCAGCATTCTTCCCATTTGTCTGAGTGACCAGGAGGCAGTTCACTTTTGAAGTATGTCCCTCAAAGACGGCCACACACTTCCTGCTCTAGAAAGCAAAGCATATGGTCCATCACACTAAAGGTCTGCAATACCTCTCAGGATCCATGCCTGACAAAGTAGGGTGGAGCAGGTAATAAAAACAGCAGGACCTGCAACAAATGCCTTTTACCCCTCTTACAAGATGAAGGGGAGAGAAGAGAGACTTGAAGATAGAGTAAAAAAAAAAAAAAAAAACTCGCTCAAAAAAGCACTCAAAGCAGCTATTTCCTTAACTACATAATGCTTCACAAACACACAATTGCAACCTTGTGATTGGAACTATTCTTACACCATTGTCACAACCTTACTTACAACCAGATTGTAGGCACAAACTGTTTTGTCTGCTGAGCAGGTGTACAACAAATTCCCAAAAATCTGAATAGCATTCACTGCAGCCAGGTGTCCTTCAAAGCTCCCCTCTGTAGGTTCTTCATCCTCACCTGGCTCTGAAGACACTTCTGTAGAATAGAGACGCACATTCTTTGATTATGTGAAGAAACACAAACATACTACTGTTTGTTTGTTTTCCTTTCTCCCCACCAAACACTAGAACTATTATGTAGGCTCAGCATCTTTATAGATTTCACTGCAGTTCTCAGCTGGAGTCTGTAAGTGTCACAATACAACATAAAAAGCCTGAAGAGTCTTCATATATCAAATCCAGAGAGATCTTTAAAAATAGCAAGAGGATTGTATTATTGTCTGTCCCACAGCCTCACAGAAACTGTGTAGAAGGACTGTTAGTGTCGGATGGGGTAGCAAAGGCTCAAGGCACAAAGCTCTCAGTGAGGGATGATGCACGTGAGCATGCTTCACTTTTAATGCTTTAAGTGTATTCCATCTTCATAGCTAAATTCCTCCGGCAGCAGCTCAGTCTAGACCTGACTTCAGTTCTTGCAATCTATGATACACAAACTACAAGAGCAGCTTAAAAGATATACCTGATGAGTTCTTTGATCCTCTTAGTGATGATATAGAAGCCTGTGTGTCAGCCACACTGTAACAGAAATAAAGTAGCAAGATTGGATTCTGCTTGCTCATTTTCCAATAAGTTATTGGTATAAGTAGTACTCCAGAACACAAGACTCTGCACTAAGCAGAAAACTGTCTATAACAGGCTAAGATAAAAAATATTTTCCATGCAGCAGGACCACGTTCCAGTTGTTAGAGAAACTGGCAGACAACAATGTACACTTGTTAGTTGGATTAAAGCAAATTCAATTTACAACATACAGACAGGCATATTTTCCCTCAATTTTAATTTCCAAACAAAATTAAGAATTACTGATGTAAAACTTTCTCAACAGGAAAAAAATACATCTTATAATACTTTTGAGAGATCTACAACAATCTTACCTTCTTTTCGTATCATCCCTATAACTTGTGCCAATCTCACTGGTAGAGCTCACTTCATCATAACCTGAGCAAGATGCCTCTAAGACTGCTTGGTCCACAGTGCTGCACAACTCTCTCTTTGATGGACTGTCTGGTTTCTCATCTCCTGACTCTGATGAACCAACATCAACCACTTCACACTGGGGCACTGCAACTTCCACTAGTTCCAAAGAAGCATCACTATCATTCTCATCCTTGTTTCTAGCTGCTTGAACAGCAACACCATCTCCCTGTTTTTGAGGAGTTGATGTTGTAATTTTTTCTCCCTTAGAAACTTTTCCACTCTTGACCTTCCGGGTAGGCTTACAGTCAATTATATCCTGTTCTGTGTCACTGTTTTCTGGCACATGAGCTGCCCTCAGCGTTTTCTTTTTCCTTAACTTTCTTCTCCTTCTGTTTCCCTTTTCTGCTGGGACTAGAGTGTTTGCTGCCTGTTGTTCCGATGGTTCTGCTGACAATCTGGGAGTTTTATCCATTGGCATTTCTAGAAGGACTGAACGATCTGGAAGCAAGGTGCTACACTGATCCAGTAAAAAGCTTTCAGTCACTCCATTTGCTTCTCTTTTGCTGAAAGTAGACAGCGAAGGAGAAGGATTCTCCAAAAGTCCAGCCTTTCCCCTATCCACAGCAGGCTTGTGAACTTCTTGACTAGTGTGCTGGAAACAAGCTGTCAGCTCTGATAGGGATATGGTTGCAGAGATAACCGGATACACTGATGTTTTTTGGATGATTTCTTCTGAAGAAGAGAGACTAGTGTTATATTCATTCTCTGTAAGATGCAAAGCTTGCTTTCCCTGCAATTTTTCATTTACAATTAAATGTCATGTAAAGTACTGTAACACTGTAATGCGATGGGAAGCACAGCAATGACAGTGCAGTAGCAAATTCCTAGGCTGCAGTAAATGAGGATATGCTTAAATGTGGCAGCTGTGGACAGAGAAACAAAGGAAAGAATCTGCTTACCCTAGGAAGGCCTTAGGTATGCAGGAACTTTCAGCAAGATACCCTTGCCTCCACTGCCAACACTTAAATGAGGTCTGGAAAGGGGTGGAGCCACGATGCAAGCTGCATTGCACACAGCTATGCTCCACTGGGTTGGCCCTGCCTTCCTACCAGGTGCTTAATCTCTGTTTCAAGCCATGACTTAACATTTCTGCTACAAGTATATACTCCTGTATCTTGAAAGGATATGTACACATGCACATCTGCTCTTCTAGTCAGCTATTCGGTCTTTAAAAAATGCCACTGGAAAATAAAATATTTACTTGTGTACAAGAATCAAAGCAAGGGGGCAAAAGATTCAAGTTTCTGGATAACTGGATGCTTTCAAACTTCTCAGAAAAAACCTTTGGTGAATCCTACAGTACTGGCTTATGATGCTCTACCCTTTGCTGTGTTCTTTTACCTAGTCATCATTACTGTAGAAGACCATTATTAATCAGCACAAGCCTAATGTACTTCAGCTGCTCAGTGGGAGTTCACTCCTGCACAACAGCCTGCAGGTTTGTCACCCAACTGGCTTATTCTACAAAAAAAAGCAAAAGATTTCTTGCATTTTCATAAAGCTACTCCTTAAAAAAAGAGCCACACATACCATCCTTCTGTGCTACCACTTCTGTTCGTGAAGCACATAGAGAGCTCTGGAGTACAGTATTCACATTTTCTTCTGAGGCTTCCAAAGACACAGGTTCTCGTTTAATTTGTACTGAGGAGTCTGGAGGAGTGGTGAATGTGATGCCAGAATGGAATGGTGCTGATGTGTCTAAGTGAACAGCAGTTCCCAGTGGAGGTACAGACAAAGTGTCCAAAAGGGGCAAGAAAGAGCCTGCAGGAAGCAAATCAGCTGACACCTGAGATTCACTGTTTCTTCTCTCACTTGAGACACTACTGGGGAGTTGCTCTGACAGTTCAGAAGGTTCATACGTCTCTAATGGTAAAAGAGAAGAGGAAAAACAAAACAAAAAAAGTCAGCAGTGTCAAGAGATAATTTCTGACAGATAGACAAGGAAGAGAAAAATTTGCAAGAAATCCAGTAGATCCAGCACTACCAGACGCAATATATCACATCTGAACAATAAAGAGTTCACTGTGAAAAGCCTAAAGTTTGTTCTACTATTTACAAGCACAATTTTTACAAGACATTGAGTTCAAAGAATATGAGTCAGTATTTCAGTGCTATTATCAGTATCTCATACCTTGTAGGCCTTGCAAGATCTGGATCCTCTGGCTTCTCAGTGCACTCATTTCCATGGTTATCTGCAAAACAGGAGTTTTTAATCACTTCTATTAATGGTAGTTTCTCAGGCTGCTAACTTTTAGTTCCGCCAGTCTCAAAAGCCTACTGTTACCTGTTGCTTTAACACGAGGAATCGTTGAACCTCAACATATGCAGCCTGTAGGGCAGCTCTAGCCTGCAAGAGACTATCGTCCACACTATGTAGGGACTTGCTCAATTCTTCCTCCCTCAGTGAAATAGCCAACAACTGGTCTACTTGAGAACGTTCTGGAAAAAAAGTCGGCATAATTTAGCATATAATGGTACTTGCAACACATTAAAATACATGACAGGTATTGCCTCAAATATTATCACTTCCGAACAAATAAACACATGAATTAGGTAAAGTATTAATAGTTATGCAAGAGACTTAAAAGCATCTGTGCACAGGAACAGTCACTTATTACACAGAAGAACAAGAATAATTCTCTTTAAATGATCTCAACTTTGACTGCAGTAACTTTTTTTTAAGTCAGTTTTTCCAGCACAGAACAGGAAGTCACCTTCTTCCAAAACGATCTTTTATTGAAGTATATTTACACAGGAAGTACAAATTCATACTTTTCAGTAATGTAATAAAAAAAGGCAAAGACAAATTTAAACTAAACATTTAAATTTTTTAGCTAATTCAGAGGTCAAGAAAAGGTGGGTAAGACTAAAAGACTTCTATGATAAAATCATTTACTAATCAAAATAGCATCTTGGCTGCGAGATTTGTTTACAATCTCCTAACAATCTGCAAGCACTGTTTTCAATAAATATTCTTTTTTAGAGGCCCTCTGGCATTACAGAGATGCTCCAAATCAATCAAGTTTCAATTTGTGCACTCCTCAGCTTTTTTCAAGTTAATTTCTTTCAATAGATTTATTTACAATGATATGGTGATAGAACCAAGCAATACAAAGCAAATCCTTCCACACATTGAATTTTACTAGTCACCTAGAAGCCAGGATTCCAAACAAGGATGGAAAGAGAAGAGACCCAAACACATCAGGTTGTTCTAGCTCTAATTCTGTAGATCTTACAGACCTGACAAGAGTCTACCCTATGACTCTGAGCAAGAGCCAAGACACACCAATGTAACACTAAGGAACAGCCGCTACATCCAAGTCAGAACACTACTAGGCATTTACAATCTCTACCCTAGACATACATGCACATAATAGTCACTCACCTTTTTTACCTTTGATTTTTCTTCTTTTATTCTTTCTTTCCAGACTGGGGATTTCAGGAGAGGATCCTTCCTACGAGTAAGATCTCTTGTTAACAAAAGACACTACAGCAAGATTGCCTAAGTCAAGACGACAAACATCCACTGTTATCTCAAGAAGCATCATTCCTAACCGCAGGAAAGAATACGTACAATTCTGTGCATTCTTATCTAACTTGTCCTTCCCTCTCTTCTTAAAAGTGAGAATGAAACAAAGTGAGTGCCATGTTTTCATCTCAACATGAAATATTAAATAAGCAGTCAGCTTTCAACATGCTTAGATTCTCAAGACCATACTTGGTTCAGATTTTCTGTTTAATAGATTTAGTTGACAATCTAAAGGATGAAATTACTGAGGAATTTAAATTCTCACATCCTGCATTTAGCAAATTCATTCTGATTAATTTGTTCAGAAGCATCTATTTTACTTTGTGTAAGACTAAGACAAGGCAATTAAACATTCAGATGGAGAAATTTCTGACTTAGAGACAGATAGGCTACCATCTTCAATCTTTTTCTACCTTATTTTAAGTATTTGGTTTTGTAAAGAGGATTGTCTTCTCTTGTTTGACCGTAAGACCTGAAATGTCTAAGAAAACAAAATGTCTACTACATTTTAGCTTTCATTTCAGTTTTAGAAAACAAAAGATCCCCACTGCAACCCTAACTACTTTCATGGAAATATTTTAACAGCTTATTTACTAGCTTATCACTGAATCAAAACTGAAGAGCATCTGTAGTTCCTACTAATAGAAAAGGACTAACCAAAAATCTTGTGCTAAAAAAGCAGAAATTGAAAATATTTAAATACAATTACGTCAAATAAGCAAGATAAACCTATTAACATACAAGGCAATAAGATAAAGTCATCCTTCTGGGATGGGATATATACATGGGAATTTACATTTTTAGCACACCAAAACTGCACAAAACTGTACACTTACTCCTGTCGCTCTTCGTTTCTTTCCAATTCCTTGGCTGTCATTTTGCTCAGTACCAGAAGTGTAGCTACTGTCCGTTGCTGCATCTACGTTACTAGACACTGCAAGAAGTACATCACTTGAAGCCAGAGAATTTTCTTCTGAGATTTCTAACACATTCTGTTTTTCAAGAAGAGGTGTTCTCTTGTCTAGACTGTCTTGCTCTGCTTTTGTGAGGCCAGTGAGCTCAGAAGTAGCCTGTAGGCTTTGTTTCTTTCCAGGGGTCTCAGTTCTTTCAGATATAAACGGTGACAAAGAAAGAGAAGAGGTCTCCTGTTTCAAGTCAGCTTCAATGTCAACACTTGCCTCGTATCCAGATGTTATATCACGTAGGTGTCTGTCTGCAACTATTTGCCTTTCCTCACGTTCTTTTGCTTTGGGTTGTTCACTAAAAAAGCTGTAAGCAGAAGGGTGTCTGTCTGCAATGACACTGCTTTCAGAAAAGCTACGTTTTCTGGCTGATCCAGGCACTGCTAAGGAAATCCCTTCCCACTGGAATCCTTCCAGAGTAGACAGATCAGATTCTTCACCAAGTTCTAGACTCTCTTGATCATTTTGAACGAGAGGCACCATTTCTATACCAAACCTTCAACAAAAAGAAAAAACCACATGTGTAACAAATTATTTGAATCTAAAAAAAAACAAAAAGACTCCCCTTTTCCTAGCTGCATGTTACTGTTTGAAAAGATGAGCAACTCATTAAACTGGTATTCTGCAGTTTATGCCTCACGTAGCAAAGCAGTATCTTCTGTGTATCACAAAATCACATTTTGTTGCTAAGAATTGACAAGACAATTTCCAAATCATGAAAAGAATCTTCATTAGCTTTTAGAATTTTGAAATTTGAAGATCTGTTCATCGCTCAAACAACATTAAAGCTGATACCTTTGCTCCTCAGTGTCTTATAAAGCTCAACTCTAAAGCAAAATCTCAAACAGAAGCAAAACATATCATTTTCAGAACTACCTGTAATCCAGTTTGGTACTAGCAAAGATTACATATTTTCAAGAGTCTGCAAAACCTTCAGGCCCTCTATGAGGCTTAAAGCATTAACTATTTTACAGTCACTCTAAATACAAACACAAACTGCTTATCAGATTAAAACAGATAAATATCTGAAAAGGAAACATTTATTCTGTCTGCAACAACTCAAGCAAACTCAATTTTTGTAGTCCTGAGTGCATGAAGTAATTGCAACAGTGCTGTTCACATCCTCATTATGTTTTACATACTTTCATTTATTAGAACCTGAAATGCAAGTGTGTTCCTAGTGTCATATATGTCATGACGTCACATTCAGGTATTAAGCCATTATTACGAGCTGATCAGAATCTGTTCTGAGCAGCAAACTCCAGTCACTTATTTGTGGACAGACTGCCACAGAAGCAATAAAAAAAAATTCCAAGTACTTGTATGTGCAAAAAGAGGGTTGTGTCAAAATGATCGATTATAAAGTCTTCATTTTAGCATTCTGAAATTCACCTAAGATGAGGTGAAAACAACCCACTCCCTTAAACACACACACAGTCACACTAGAAAGCTACCAACCTTGGTAAACCTTTGCCAAGCTCCTGTTTCTTCTTTGATACCTGCTGGATGACTTGATCCCAGTTTACATTTCGCCGGGAAGCACTAAGAATCTGCCTGAGGGTTGGTTTAAGGCCCGATTCTTTCTCAGCCTCACTTCTCCGATGGCCACTTATATTCCGAATGCGCCGTGCGTTATTGAGATTGGGCTCTGGAAGGTGTATTCCCACTTTGCTCTTCAAACTAATATGTCGCGTCAGATCTCTTTGCAGAGAGGCTGGGAGGCCAAGTTTGCTTAAATCAGGAAGGAGGCCTAGTGATTGACTTCCTCCTTTCTGCAGCTCATGGTCTGAATGATTTTCAAAACCTTCCACTTCAAAGCGACCACCTGACTTGACATGCTCTTCATTTGCTTCTTTCTCCTGTGAGGGGATTTTCAAACCCACGTGCAAGTGATCCTGACTGTTTGATGAAGAAACTGTGGATTCCATCTGAAATGCAGAATCTTTCAGATCAGCAGATGCAATGCTTGAAACAGATGGCTTTTCATCAACATCCTTTTCAGAGGCAGCAAGTTTACCTTCTGGAGTGTCGCAGGGTAAACAAGAACTAACAGAAGGACTCAGTTTTTCAGCTCTTATTTCTACTTTCTCTCTTCCTGTTAACTCATCATCACTCACATCTTCCAATGAATGTAGTCTGAACTTGTTCTTTGGTGATGCTTTCCCAGTTCCTTCCATATTCTGATCATCTGTATTCTTGCAAGAGTTTAAGGGAGGATTTTGTAAGGAATGGTTGGACTGAATATCTTTGGGTTTTCGTTCTGCTTCACTTAAGTTAATAACAGCTTCCCCAACGTTACTGCTAAGTGCGTCTTTGTTGCTTCCTTCTAAGTTATCAGCAGACGGACCACGCAGCTTTGATGAATAAGAAGGTAAATTGTTAGCTTCCAGATTCAATGCTTTCAAACAGTTCTGTTCTTTGCTATTAGGTGAGGACAACAGAGACTTAACATTTTTTAACAGACTTTTTGTGTCTTGCTTTTGGGAAGACAACTTCATGTCTGTAATATTTAGAAGAGGGGATTTCAGCGATGGCATCCTACTACTTCTGCCATCATCTTTGTCAGGCTTTTCATCACTGGAATCAGGGTAATCCAGGGTTACATTAGAATGGAAAGATGCTTCTGATTTTTTATGTTTTGGGAGGCTAGCAGCGGCTTCACAAGTTTTTCCCTTTCCTGGTGATTCAGTAAGAGGCAAAAATACAGAATCCATTTTCTCTGTAGCTTTAGAAACATCTTCAAACCATGACTGCTGCTCTATAGATTTTTGGGATGGGTAGGGAGTCCAGCGATGTATTTTATCTCTTGAAGGGCTCCCACTTTTCCCACTGTTTCTTGGAGCTTTACTTTCTGGTTGCTTTGAAGTACCAAAATCCAATGCCCCCTCAGAAGGAAGTTTATCACTAGTAAAATCAAATGAGTCACTCCTATTATTTCGATCTCTGTATGGAAGAACAGTCACATCTTTCTCCTGCCACTGCCACATATATCTTTCCTTGTTATATTTAGCTGGCTCTAATAAGTATGTATCTCCAGAGCTTCCGAAATTCCAGCTATTTGCACCATGAGAACTAGACTTCCAGTTTCCTCCATAACTCTTGCAATTCCAACTAGAAAAATTACCTGTTCCTTCCGTGTGCCAAGTAGAATTCCTCCCTCTGGCATTGTGATGCCAATTTGATGTTCCTCCTCCTCCTCGCCCATTTGGATGCCAAACAACTCCAGAATTCCCATACTTATGCCAACTTGAAGAGCTTCCTGAAACACTTTGGTGCCACCCAGAGCGTCCCCTTGGGCCACCTGGATGCCTACTTATATTAAGGTTTCTCTGGGAGTGTGAAAATCTGCCCTGTCTAGAATTAATATAATCATCCCTTTCCCATTTCCAGTCCCTTTGTAATGCATTATGATGATGCCATGACGACTGATCATAAGCTTCTCTTTCTTTGTATGTAGCTCTCTCTTCTCGCCTCCTCTGTGATCTCCTATCATCGCATTCTGTTTCTTGGTTTGTACAGCATGGTTCAACTTGCCTACAAAACAATTTAGAAGAAAACAAATTCTGATGCTATTTCAATGAAATCCAACATAATACAAGTCTCATCCATTTATCTTTCGCTAGGGAGATATTTTAAGAAGGAACAGAGACAACTGACTTAGCTTAGCTGACTTTATCATTCAAGGTTCTGTAGTGGTTGACTTTCAACTCTAGCGTTATGCCTTTACTTAAACCTTGCATTTCAAATTTGCTCCTACAAGAACAACTGACATGATTCAGGGATAGTTCAAAGAGAGCTGTCAGAAAGCCTATTTTTGTTGTACATTCTTTGCAATTTGAGGGATCTATATAAGAAAAAAAACTAATAAGTAGTCAGATTTTTTTCCCTGAAGACTACTGTGTTAGTACTAGACAGCATAACTAGAGTGAATTGATACAAAATAGAAGGAAAATTAGAAACCACTGAGAAAAGCAGTTATTCTACTTCATAGAAAAAAACAATTGAGAACATGTCTCAGTTTATAAAGCTCAATTTATGTATATCTCACAGATATAGAACATTCACAGAAACGACAACTCAGATACAAAAACCTATTTTGTCTTGTTTTAAACAACAAACCAGGAGTCCACAGCATACATTTCTGTGAGGGCCTCCCAAAAGCCCTATCTACTGCCCTTTGGATAATACTTGTGGTTGGCAGTCTGTCAAGAGCACATGGTAAATTATCACATGCACATTTAAAGATAAATGCTACCTTAACATTTGCAGCTATTCCCAGGGTCAGCACTCTAAACAGATTAAGTATCTATTCTACCAAATGAGGAATGCTTAATAAAAGTTTTTACTCCCAAAAACTGATCACAGAAATACACGTACTCTAAGTTCCTGGACAAGCAAGACAGGAAGCTTTCATACTATTCTGCTAAAAAATATTGATATGAATAAATTGAAATTTATATTGTACCACCTTTTAAGATTTCAACACATTCCAATGTTGCGAAAAGATAAATGTCTAGTGGAAATGAGCTACTGGATAAGCTAAACTAAGCTTTAAGACAAGAAATCAAATAAACGATGTCTCAGTGATACCTTTAGTTCTAGGAGACGACTCAACTGGACTGTGATCTAATGGAAACAGTTTTGCTGTAACTTTACCCATGTAATTTTTTCCTTTCCCCAAGTGCATATCCAACTGAGAGATTTATAAGATTTTATTTGTGTCAGAATAGCACCGTACTAACAGCACTTTCACTAAAGAATGAAGAAAAATGACTTTGTTACTATCTACATGAACTATTATAAAAACACGACCACCACACAGAGACACTTTAGTAAATGGATTCAAAACAAACAGTAACTACAGTTATGCACTTCAGGGCACTAATTGAAATTTTCCAGTAGTGAGCAAGAGCTTCTTTAAAAAAAAAAAAAAAAAAAATCACATGGCCCTTTAGTACCACTGTTATGCTGTAAACACATTGAAAAAATAAATTTCCAATTGGAACATCACATTAGCAATGCACACTTGCAGTCACATGCAAGATAAACGGCAGCATTTGCTTCTCTCTGCAGCCTTGTATTTCACAGTGAGTCACAAGAATTATCTTTAGCTGCTGATAAGCAGCAAGATAAAACAAGCAAGTAACTTCATTCATGGATTATGGGATTTTAGTGTGACATAAGGAGAACAAGCCAGTTTATTTTAAAAAAGGCAGATCAAAAGTTTTAAACAAAACACATTCACCAACAGTTCTGAAAAGACTGGGTCCCTGCAGAACCATTCTCCCATTACACTAAAAACAATAACAGCATTACCATCACATTTACTAAACCCTTCTGTTAAAACGAATATCACATGCTAAAATAACAGCATAAGGACTCTCAAAGCACAAGATATCACATTAGGGACTTGAATGGGACAGCATAACTTTTTTTTTTTTTTTTAAATCTACAATGGAGGATAGCTGTAATTCCCTACAAATAGTAGATCAACAAAACAAGCACATTTAGCAGAATCAACTTTACACATTGAAAACTACAGTCTCCACCTAGTTCTCCCAGGCCATTCTTGTAACAGGCATACTGACTGCACACAGTTTGCATTTCATGAGCACCCACTCCTTGGAGCAGATCACAACTGTGCAATAAGCACTCTTACGATGTTACAACTAAGAAAAGAAAGGAAAACTCACCGGTTCCGTTCCTTCCTTTGCTTGATCAGTTGAATGAGTTCTTTGTCAAGGTATTCTTCTTCTGTCTCCTCTTTCTCTTCCACTTTATCATGGGCATCAACATTATCTTTGTGTAGCTGGCTGGAGATGTGCTTGGCATATGCTGACAAGCCCACCAGTGTCACCCTGCACACCTGGCACTCGTGGTTGCTGTCCCTAGGAAGAGAGGCGGAGGGTGGGCTTTCGGTTCTGCCAACAGGCATGGTGGATTATCTTTGGTCTTACTTTGTTTCCTCTGAATGTACTTATCTTTAGCCAATGGCTTGTGTTCAAGGCTACTCGGTTTTGCTCAGTATGTTTAAGTCACTTGAATTCTCTGTTTGTTTTTTTCATTCAATGTCTAGTCTTTTTGATGGTAAGATTTCTAGAAGATTTTTTTCCAACAATCAAGAGGTAGAAGACTTGGTAGTAGAGCTGTGTTAAATAGGAGGAGGAATTCGTCTTGAATTGTTGTACTCAAAATCTTTTCAGAGGAAACACAGTGAGCGAGGAGGCAGAATGGAAGGCTTACAGAGCTAGCAGGAGCTGCTCTGAAGCCCTTCCATGGTGCCAGCTGCACTGGGGAAGCCTGGTGACAGCTTCTACATTTAATCTTTGCCTTGAGCCTTCCCCCAGCGAAATTTAGAAAAGGGAGGAGGCAGCACATGGATACAGCCAATCCTACTACAGCACAACCTAAACTGGGACAGCTGAGACTGCTGCCTGGAATCTAAAGACTCCATAGCACAGCAAGCAATGGGAGGGTGTCTTCAGTTCACTGTACTTTATTTGGTTCAAATGTGCATGAGATCTGCTTTCCACTTTAGAGGACATATCTTAAAAAAATACAGTAATTATTTCAGCTGGAGGAAGTTGACAGCTGTGGCAGACAAATGGTTTCACTCATGTTTCAGAGAATACTGGACTAAGGTTACAATTTTTTTCCTTTATTAAAAAAATCTAAAAATACCTTATTTGTTCTCCTAACAAATCCAACAGAAAATCCACTCTTAAGAAAATAGGAATTTAAAAATAACCCAAACAGGGGAAGTATGTTCACGGTTAAAAAAAAAAAAGGACAAAAACATGAATAAGTATAGTTCACTCCAACCAATTTAGTTGGAACAAGTCAGGACTCACTTGCTGCCTCCACAATGTTTCCTACTACTCTGACATTGAATTTATACTAGCAAAATCTACCTAACTCCATGCCACACTCAAGACTGAAGTCTTGTAACAGTAGCACTGTTTTACCAGCACAGTTCATAACTGTAGTAAAGAAACTGGGATCCATAATGGAAAAGGTCAAACGTGAATCCCCAGTTTTTTAGAAAAAAATAAAGTGAGAAACAGAAATAAATTGCACCTTTACTCAAAATACTAAGCCAGCATCCTTAAGTGGAGTGCCAGCAGCAAACTACTAAAAACAATGTTTTATTTCCCCAGAATTTTTTTTCATCTTCCTAACTTAGTTAAGAAACCTAACCAATTAAGTCATCCAGGCACAGTCACAGCCAGTGAAGTAGACTAATTCATTGAAATTACACTCTTCATATTTCATTTCAGATGAAATATTTGGATAAGTTTCATTTATGAAAGAGGCAGCTTACACAGTGTGTTTCCTGGAGAATGGTGCACTTCATTTTGCTGACTTCACACTCACTAGTAAACAGTCAAAGCATAAATTCTATACATATATTCAGTCTGTTTTATTAACCCCATATACAATTAGTGAATTTTACTAATGCACTGGAAGAACAATCTTCACACCCATGAATAGATCAACTATTAGTCTTAAGGCAAACTGCACGTAAAACTTCTTGCAGAAAAAAGTGCTCTGTCTCTATAACATCACATTTACATGACAAGGAGACTTCAACATGAAACATACCTCAGGGATATATTACATCTTAGTGAATACTCCAAATCCTTCATTTCTATTCTCACACAGAACTTCTGTCACTCACACTTGCAACGTGACTAAATGCATGCACTGTTTCTACTAATCTCAGACAAATTCACAGCTGGGCTACAGACAAAGTTGCTTCTATAACATGTAATGTGTGTGACAAGTTACTAAGCTAGGGCTCTTACAGCACTTGACAGTCTGGAAAGAAAAGACTCAAGCGTGATACAATTACAATGCCCTTCTGCTTCTTGTTAACTTTCAAGAACCTAAAAGAGAAGAAACAAAACAAAAGAAACCTAAAACTTCCTTCCCTACATGGACAACTACTGAAATTAAAGTAGAACTGCCTGAGCACTTGAATGGTTATGCTAACGGATATTTTATTTCTACTACCACTTCTGCTACACTATTCCTACTAACATCAGCCAGAACTGGGCATGCTCCCACCACGTGTACATTTCCTTACAAGTCACCTGAAAAATCACAATCTCAGCTCTTTAACAAGGAGATCAAAAGCGGTTTTAAGTGAACAGGAAAAGCGTATTCACAGAATGACAGCATCCAAGAGCTTTATTTTCTGTATATTTCAAATGGCAGACTATGCCCCTCATACAAAAGCATTGTTTCATTTTCAATTACAAAAGTGAAGTCTGCTTAAGCTTCCTATTTGACATCCAATTCCCATAACGTACCACAAGGAATAAGGCTTCAAGAAAAAGTGCCTTAAGTAGCTCAAAAAAGCTGTTCTAGTCCATGAGATACTAAATTAAATTTGGAAGAAAAGCATGAACCAGTATGTGCATCTAAAATGTAACTTCAAGATGGATGTTAAATTTGAAGGTAGCAAATGTTGATATAATTTTTATGCTATCATCATGTTTCACACAATTCAAACACCCTTACGGGGCTGTTGCTTGCATTTGGCATTTTAAACCTGGCTGTTACTGCAAAGTAAAAAGTCCGTAAGTTCTTTTTCAGAACAAATACCTTCTAAGCATTCTTCTAAAATAAGTGATATACAGTTAAATTAACACATTTCCCCAGTAAAAAAAATAATACTGATTAAAAGTGTAATCTAATTTCAGTCTCAAGGAAATAGGAAGCCGAGAGTCACAGACCGCTGACAAGCTACTGTGGAATTCTATAATATGCAATTTCTAAAAATTTGTGTTACCTGTAAGAGTCAAGAACTATAAAAATACTAAAGCAGCAAGAAATGAGATGCTAAAATATATTAAATTTTCAACTCATCACTTTTCTGCCCTTGTAGTCACTCTAATCTCAGAATTACTACCAGAAGAAAGTCTAGAATAGAAATGCTCTACAAGTTAGCTGACCAGAAGCCCTAAATAAACTCCTAGTGCTGAGGGCATACTGGTTTCTGAGCAACCAGTTCCCAGCTGTTCAGTAACAGAACAAGTTCTTCTCACTCTCAACAGACACAGTGAATATTATGATGTGCTTGATGGCAGGCACGTTTTCAGAACATTCTTAGCTGACAAGGCCAGTTGTGTGGGGCACAGAAGCAGGATGGCCTGGGGTTTTTATTATTATTTCTAAATAAGTAGCAGAACTCAAAAAAATAGCCTGCAATTTTTATTTGAAAAAAGCTGCTTTCATATATTTTTCCTCAAAGTGAACATAAAAATTGAAACCACAGACAGATTAATCAAATATCAGATGGAAGAAGAAATTGGGCAACAGAGGTTGTTTACTGCCAGTTAATATGCAGTTCAATGTAAGCAATATCTTTCCATTTATACAGCATAAAATTTATAAAGTAGTAGGCACAGTAGAGCTCAAATCCTAGCTGCAGTCTTGGTGCAAAGACAACACAACTGGAACTCACTGCAGACTGTAAAACAGGTTAGAAGTATGACTACTTGCAATGCATTCACCTTCCTATAAGGACTTTTTTTTCTAATTTCACTGCAACTGTTGTTAGCAGATGTAAGTAAGCATACTCATTTACCAAATATTTTCCAGAGGACTTGTATTAGAAACTGTAGCAATTGGATGGATCAATATGATGGAAAAAGGTGTTTCACAAGAGGTAAAATCACAGAAGGACCAGCACAAGAGAAAGGTGCTAGAAAGGAAGGGAAAAAGATTGCTCACCCAATATCAGAAGATCCCAGGTTTGCAGGAGAAAGCCTCACCAAAGAGAGGGATGTGCAGCGAGAAATCCTTCCCCAGGGCCACTCAGCCCTTAAATGATGGAGGTCTAAGAGAGGTGCAGCCAGGCTCCACCCCTTCCAGTCACACCCCTGAATTGCCTTCACCTGTGCTCTCAGGGCTGACCTGGTCCTTTCCCCAGGTGCTCAATCAGTGGTTCAGGCCATGACTCAACAGTTCCCATACAGAAGCACATAGGATTACTGTTTTAGCCAAAACTACAGCAATAATTTACAATTGTACACAACATAAAATACTACACAGCTGGTGCAAGCAAGTATATTCAGCTGCAGCATGGAGGCATTGCAATCTTGCACTCAAAAACTGGCACTTTTTTGCAGTTACATAAATCTTTGCATATAAAAATATTCAGAGAAATAAATTTTTAAGTTTCTCTAGTCTTGAAGTATTATAAAACAAAGCAGTTTAAAATTTTGATTGGAATTCTAAACTAGCAAAAACTATATTGGCAGTAGTATCAGTCTTGCTTCATTGCGTCTGTGTTCAATATTTAAACTTTAAAAAAAAAGTTTTAAGAGGAGGCCTGGAGCCATAACAGCTGCTTTCCTTCTGCACAAAAAGAGAAGGAAAGCTACATTAACTGAGAACTAATGCAAACAGAAGCTGTCTACCATTTATCTTCCTCAAATGTAAGATACTTGTCCCAATAAAATTAATCTCCCACACTCAGGAGTTGAAAGAAAATAACTTCCTAGTCCTTTAGAAGTTGTTTAACTTCTTAAATAGATGTGCAATTTTTATATGAAGTTTCTGGTGCAAGATGATTATAAGCTAGTCAAGTATTTAAGTGTAGACCATCTGATACCTCTGCCTACCTCAAAGATCACACAAAATTAAAAGAACTTGCAAGTGCACTCTGATTGCATCCCGTTTCCATATTATCAGGATGGTATTTGAATACCCCCTAGCTCCTTCCGCTTTCCAGAGATTATAATTACAACCATGGAAGCCATCATCCACCCTGGTTAGCTTCCACAATCAAACAACCAGACCAGAGAGGCGGAAGACAAGACTGACACTCAAGCACATAAGCAGTCCTACATCTAAGATGCCAGATTTCCCACAGAGGTTGAAAAGTTAATAACCAAAGACTTATAAAGTTTGTTTTAATAGGAAAAAAAAAACCAGTGTCTGTAATTCTACCAAAGGCAGAATTACAGTGCTTCCAGGAAACCAAACAAAAAGCTGCCAAGAACAAAAAAAAACTTTTTTTTTTTTAATCTTTCATTTTATTTTTCCACATCATTTGTCTCAGTTAACAAGCCTCCTGAGTTTTAGGTATTCAAGAACATGGTCATTGCCAGCTTTATCATATACCATGCCTAAAATTGTGCAATTCAGCTTGTTTGAGAAATAGTACATTAGTCATTCTTGAGAATAACAAACTGCACAAAGAGGCAAGATACACTATGGTTCTAATACCTTCCTTTCAGGTTTTCAAGTTCTCTGTGGTGAAGCATGCTCCTCATGTGTTCTTCCATCTCCTTCAGTAAAGAGAAAGAAAAGTAGAATTGGTTATAAAACAAGAAAGCAATTCTAAAGATTCCACATTCTCTTGACTTCTGAGCTGAAATATTTTGAAATCTTCAAAGAACAGACACTAATCGTTATCCTCCCCAGTCCTTGAATTCACATCTCCAAAGTGAAAACAACACCTCCAATCCCCTTGAGTTGAGTGAATTATTACACTGGCATTTGAATAATAGCCTTGTGGCAAGTGGCTAGACAAAGATACTACAATTAAAAAAAACAAGCACTGTTTCAGTGCAGGCTTTCCATGAAAAAGACAACGTGCACTCACTGACACCATTAACGAAAATATGTGCTGTGCAATTCCTCATTCTCATTCATATAGAAACAAGATAGAAATCCAAAAGGAAAAATAAGCAGCACAATTTATAACTGAATGAAGTTTCAAACAGTTCACCCTATTGTCTCTATGCAGCAATATAAAAAATACCCTGAAACCCTCCCTATTTTTTTATATTTAGAATCAAGAATACTGCAGAGCTCATTTAAAGGAAGATGCTTTAAAGCACGTGTAAATATACTATTTGGTTTGTGACAGATCTAGATCAATGTGCTCCCAATACAAGAAAAAAATTTTCAGAGCTCATGCAATTTTAAAATGGGAGAACTTCTCACATACTCTTAATATTAGTGCCTACTGATGTTAGATGTAAACCAAGTATGAATTATTTACCTTTTTTGAGCTGTATACAATGTGACACAATACGCATTTTCGTTCTCGCACCATGCTTACTACCCCAGGCAGATCTTATCCCATACCTGCAAATAATTCAAGAACAAACATTCAGAATTTTTTCATCATTAATCTGTTTCGGTAAGGAAAGTAAAAATAAGTTACCATTCATGAAAATGAGTGTGTTGAACTCCTTAAAGAGCTCTCTCATGTAGTTTTGAATAGTCCTTTACAAAGCTGTTAAAAAAAAAAAGCTTTCCCTTTCTTTCTTTTCTCCTTGTCCTCTAAGATACAGCACTTATTCTGCAAAGACACACAGGATTGCTCTCAGCTACCCAAACCAGATTAACAAAAATCTAATTAACGCTGTTGTGCATTTTTCTGTCTCCGCACAAAGAGGCAGTCCATTTCAAACTTTGTTATCTTACATCAGTCACCTTCAGAGCTAGTTCAGCTAATATGATCTAATTCAATTGGCAAAAGCCTCCAACAGCTTATCCTATCATACCCCAGTGGTTCACCATCCACCTTCTGTTTCTGGGACACTGACAATCTGATACTGAGTGAAGCTGTAGCACAGCTGAGCAGGTCTTGTACTTACATTGAGACCAGTCTGCACACAGTTAAAGCAGCTCTGACATTCAGTGCAACAGAATAAGCAAAATCATATCCATCTACTTCCAAAACGTGGATTTTGAAGAAATAACTCCTTTCCCTTGAATGTGGACATACACTTAGTTAAGGCATGCATCAGCACCTGTCCAGCATAAAGGGAATGCAACTGAGATAATCTTTAGGCAAACAAAGCAGTTTCCTCCCTAAATTAATTCACTACCACACTAAAACAAACATGTTTAAAATGCAACAGCAGATTCAATCACCTTATGTTATTTATCCAGCATTTGTAGAATGCCATTCTTGAAATCTCAGTGGTATTTAATACACATTCTCCAGTTTTATCACATGGGCACCTGATGTGCTAGAATCATTAGCAACAGATATTTTTATTTTCATAAAGCATTCACAACAGTACAAGATCATTCAGAACTCTGCATCAGACCAGGCCACACAGAACATGCATATAGAGCATTAATCTACTCCTGGAAAGCAAAAAATGCTGATTCTTGTTCCAATTTTAGATAGCTTCTTTTTGCATGAAAATATGCTCTACTTCCCTGGTCTTCTTCACTAACACTTTGTCATTTAGTGGAATAGTATCACACGTTTAGGATCTTGCTTAAGATTACTCAAGCACCCATGGAATTCATTCTGCACAAGAGAAAGACAGCAGCATGGGACCCAACCCAGGACAAACAGGTCATTCATTGAAGTGTGGTGACTTGCTGACACCAGTTTGCACATAACATCAAAAAGCTATCTATCACAAGGAGACCTAACACAACACCTGTTTTGACTAATTAAAACATATAGTAACTATACACGATTACAGGAAGAGTTTTAGGCTAACGGCCCAAACAGGGCATTTCTTACGGTAGAGTACTAAAAATACAAATAGAATTGAAATGCTATTGGATGTCACCATGAAAAGTGAAGCTTTCACTTCCACAGAGAGAAGCTCTTGGAAGTAGTTTGATTTTGTGGATGCCATAGAACGTACATACAGTGGCCAGGAGAGCACAAATCCACATTCTATTTTCAGATCACCTCTTGACTTAGCACCTACATGGAGATGAATCACTTCCCTTCATACTCATCTTTCTCACAAATTCTGCTAGAAAACCTAAGACTCACTTAAATGAAGTACTTCAATTTCTCTGCAAAGACTCTCATCAAGTACTTCAAAAAAACATGCTTTCCTCTCCTTTACTATGTAGCACTAACAAGAACCAGACAGTGATTGAGCCATGTACTCAGTAATGGTATTTGCCCTCATCATACACCAACCAATCTGTTCAATCACAATACCTGCGTACAGAGAAAGGAATTACCTCTCATGGGTCACTAAGGGGAAAATGAGCTACTATAAAAAAAAATAAAGCAGTTAGTGAAGATAAGGTTTTACACTATCACATAAAAGAAGCATATCTCAACAGCAAAATGTAAAGCCTTTAAAGCAAATAAGGTGTTACGCTAACTTCCTGTTTTGAGGGAATGTTACCAATCAGTAGGGGATTTTGTTTGTTCTAAAGTAAATGAATACATTTTACAACAGTGATGTAAATGGAATTTACCCACAGCCTGCACCTGCCCAGAGCCTAGAAACAGCAGCCAGATTTAATTAACTTCAGCAAGTCTGTTAGGGCTTGCGGAGAACACTTCTCACAAGTATAAATAGCCTACAAAGAAAAGAGGGCATTAGGCTACTTCCTGCTACAACGTCCATTTGTCTACAGTTATTCATCCTCACCGGATAGCATACATTAAAAATGTATGTCAAGGCTAAATCTGCTGCAGATCAATGGCTGAGAAGTGACTATATAAAGCCACAAGCCACGGAGCAAGGCGGGCAGACCAGCATACCAGCTGCCCAGAACTCAGCAGCAGCACTGGGGCCCATCTCACAGCCACTTTACACACTGTAGATAGCAGTGGATATTCTGCACTTGACAAAAAAAGAAGCCGGGAAGTTCAGCAGAGCAGAATGCTCTGCAGCAACACCTTCCTCAGCCCCTCAGAGGGGCATCAGCCCACTGCCTCAGAGACATCTCTCCTGCAGCAACCGGTTGCACAAACCTGGTTGCGCTGCATGAGAGGAACACGAGAGCTACCACAGACACAGGTAAAGGAGAAGAATGACAGGCTAGAAAGATGCAGCTCACCACAAAGCCCTTTCATGAAACCTTTTGTTGGGCTATAGGAGGAAGAGATGGATAGGAAGCCCTTCTGCCTTGGAGGGAAGCCTCTGGGCCTAGGAGAGAAAGGAATGGAAGTGCATGCTGGAAGGCAGCTAAATAACCACTGTTAGGTTAGGCCATGCGCAGTATGATTATTGGAAAACTTGTTCTGCTAATTTTCACAGAGGCCTGGTCCTTGCAGGAAAACCTGGAGAACACCACAGCCACCTGCTGAGATAAGCCAATGCTACAAAGCAATGATTCATTAAAAATTAGTAAAATAGTGATTTTCTTAGGGATAAAACATGTACAGTTAAAGTAGTTTCCCTCTACTACATGTTGCCCCAAATACTAAAATTCTCGTACCACTGTCAGATTGCTGAACAAAACCAAGTAATTCATTGCCACAAAGAAAGGCCTACACTCAAATTTCATCAGGTTTCATCACCTCAGACAGAAGTTACGTGGAATAAAGCACCAATATTCAAAAAGGACCTTTGCTTACCAGAATCACTGCCCTTGAGCTCAACCACATAGCAAGTGTCAGAGCCATGCTGCCAAATGAGTGATCAACTACTCTGCCACTGAGCCTGAAGGAGATAAAAGTTATTGCATGGATCACCGTCTCCATGCTCAAGGCAACGAAGCTGACTTTGCTAACTATCCTAACAAGACATCTGCAGGAACTGTCTGTATGCTGCCCCATGAATAACAGTGAATTTTTATAATATATGGGGAAGGTACACTAAAGATAAGGAGACTGCAGGCATACACCTTACACAAACAGAGCAGCACATGCACAGGAACACCTGTCAGGAACAAGAACTTCCATTAAAGACTAGTTTTATTTCAAGCCAGGCTACAAATAAGTCACAGACCAGAATAATATATAAGCCCTAAGTCAGAATTAAACTGTCTTTCCAATTTCCTATCAGAAATGCTAATAGTTTCCCAATAACCAAACTAAGCTTTCCCTGCTGTAAACTGAGACGGAACACCTCCCAGAGAAAATAAACACCTTCATGCTATTTTACTTACCATGCACTTTTTACACACTGGCAGACACAGGGATGTGCACTACACTAATGAAAATGGAAAGCTGTTCAGCACCACTGTGGTATGCTGTCATTTCAGAGATCTAACATCCACACACCTAGATGGCTTTTTTAGACTCACACAAGTTCCATCTCTTTAGGAGTTTTCCTGAAACAGCATATTTTTCAAGGCTATTAAAATTCCAGTTTCTCTTTCCAAATTGCCTAAAGAACTCTTAAAGAATTACATCCAAAACTGGACGCAGTACTCCAACTGAGCCCACTGGCAGGAGCCTCCTCCTTGGAGAGGAGCTTCAAACATTATTTTCTAAAGAGTGAAACAGAGTTTCATTAAGAAGCAACAAAATGATTCCTCCACAAGATCAGGCACAAATGGCTTGCCTCAGTTAGATCTACCTGCAGCTACCAAAAGACCTGTCTGCTTATCCTGATAATCTTACACCGCTTTGTAAGAGATCTTTGATGAAGAGGCCCTTACAAGCACGACACAAAGAGACACAAAATAAAGTGGTTGGTATTTCAGCAATCTGTGTATTCCCCCCCCCCCCCATAGGTATTTGAGCTCCTAGTACCCTTGACAGGTATGCAAACTGTGTTTCCGTCACAGACTGTAAATTAAGAACAGAGGCTCAGAAACCAAACCAAAACAGACTGCTTTAAATATCTATCTGTAGCAGTTCCACAAAATCAGATAATTGGTCTTGGCAAAAGAACTCACACTTCATAAGTAACTCTCTACAAAGTCCATGTACTACATACTCACCTGAGCTAGAAAATATCTGTTCAGTGGAAAGCGCACTGGGAAGTATTTAGCCAGTCACTGGGCTTTTTCTGTGAATACAGTCACCACAAAGTATTTAGAATCACTAGAAAGTGACTTCAGGGACTTAAACCACAGTACTCAAGTCACTTGACAGAAAACATTTTTGGTGCCAAGCAAATTCAAGTCAAGGATCCCAAAGATTAGGCTGACAGGCATCAGTGATCAGACAACGAAAAAAACAGGCTTCTGCTTGAATTATCACACCTGTGTAACAGACATTTCATCCCAGTGGTGAGTAATAACAGCTCCTTTAATTTGGAATCCAAATGTAAAATCACCTAAGATCAGATGAGAAAAATCCGTTACCCAGTAAACTAGCAATACTTTTTTAAAAATATGTATAATATAAAACAAATGTATTTTTGTAACTTATTGCATTCTCTTATTTTCATATTATCAGCTTGAATCAGGTAACATCTCAAAACTTAGGACACCATCTGGTGGTACGTTCACAAAAGAGAACTGTCAGATGTTAAAAATAATTTTATCAACCTAAATTTGACTCAAGATATCTTATAAACTTTAAAAGATAAAGTGGAAAATCAACAGGAAAAATGCCTTAGTTTTATCTGGGCCTCTGAATACCCCTATAGACAATCTGGGTATGTATTTATATTACAGTAATTGTGGTTGTTCTTTGCACTGTACAGATATCAGAGGCCTGTGTAGATTAAGATGCATTTGATTGATATCTCATCAAACATGCAACATTTTCAGACACATAGGCCAGATGTTACCTGAAATTTGGTATAGCAATTGGATGGATCAATATGATGGAAAAAGGTGTTTCACAAGAGGTAAAAATCACAGAAGGACCAGCACAAGAGAAAGGTGCTAGAAAGGAAGGGAAGAAGATTGCTCACCCAATATCAGAAGATCCCAGGTTTGCAGGAGAAAGCCTCACCAAAGAGAGGGATGTGCAGGGAGAAATCCTTCCCCAGGGCCACTCAGCCCTTAAATGATGGAGGTCTAAGAGAGGTGCAGCCAGGCTCCACCCCTTCCAGTCACACCCCTGAATTGCCTTCACCTGTGCTCTCAGGGCTGACCTGGTCCTTTCCCCAGGTGCTCAATCAGTGGTTCAGGCCATGACTCAACAATTCCCATACATTTGGTCATAGTGATTCAAGTGACTAACATAGTTGACCAAAACCATCTATTTACTCGAATTGAGGGTGTAACAACATAACATCTATTCAAAAAACTTCACATACAGAAATCAGTCAATGCTGGAACATACAAGTGATGCAAACGCAGTTGCCTAACAATTCAGTTAAAGCCAAGTAAGAGGTTAAAAAAAAAAATTATACTTGCATTTAGAAGAAGTAATAGTCTGCTTTCAGGTCAGGATTGGAACTTGTTTTCTAAAGTTACAAAGCCAAACTTAATCAGCATAAAAGATGTGTAATATTCATATTCATATCAAATACTGCAATCATAATGGGGAGGTACTCTCAAAGTTCATGAAAATCTTTAACCAAGTTTTTGGAAGGCTTAAGCCTTTTTTAGGCTCAGCAAAACTTAATAAAGCAATTGAGGCTTAACTGAAAGAAACAGCAAGTGAGATAAGGCCACAAACAACCAGCATAGATCAGGAGAAGCCCCAGGAAATGAAAGCTAAGTCCACCAAACCTCAGTCTTGCTCTCTTAGGCTGCTGCTCAGCACCTAGCCGTGGCACCACACCTCTTCAAAGCCGTGCTTCAGGCAGGAGGGATGGAGGAAGATACAGCATTGCCATGGACCATTCCATCAAGCCACTGCCACCGAAAACAGAATGACAAAGGAAAAAAAAAAAAACATTCGCAAAAAGAAATAATAAACCAAGTCCTTACAGAACAATTTCAGAACTGGAGCACGGTTATTAATTTTCAAAGCCACTTCTAGCCAACACGAACCATCTCCTGTTCCACCACCCTATGCGGAGCTGCTTCAGGATCCGCACATGGTCAGTCTCACTGCAGGTTACTGGGCATTCATCATTACATCCACTCACACTCACCCAGACGAATTTTGGCTTCACGACAGGAAGGACAGTAACTGAACAACTCGAGCCCAGAGCTGCAATTCAGCCTCCGCAGGTACCGAGACACAGCCATACCTGCACGCCTCTAGCAGGGAACCGCTCTCACAAAGCCCACTTAGCCGGACTGCAAAGCGCAGCAGCACGAAGCAACGCGGGATGCTCATCGCACACGCCTCCCGCTCCCCGGGCCCTCCGCCCCTGCCTCAGCCCCACCAAGTAAGCTCCCGCCGGATAGCCAGCGCTCCGCCCGCTACTCACACATCGCGGCCAGAGCAGGGGGCGGGCCTCCCATCCCCGCCGGCACCGAGTCCGCCCGCGGTCTGCCGGCCACGCAGCGCCCGTGTCGGGGCGACCCCACAGAGACTCGCGGGGCAGCCTCTGGCCACAGCCAATGCGGCAGCAGCAGACGGCCGCGCTGCGCACTGGGAAGAGCTCCAGCGGCTCCGCGGTGTCTGCTGGGAAGTGTAGTCCCGGCGTCCGTAGCGCGCGTCTGTGCCGGGGCCAACTTCACTGCGAGGGCAGAACCACCCTGACAGGAAGGGATGCTTATCAGGGATGCTTATCAACTGATGATAACAATACAAAAGCCGTAACAATAAATTTATCAATAAAGGTACTACTATAAAGAGAGAAAGTGTAATAAACACTGCATAGCAATACATGCTGCCGCTTTTAAAGCACACACAGTCGAGGAAAGCGGCTCACAGTTGACGCATGCGCAAACCTCCAGCTAGCTACCATGTTGGGTGTACCAAGAAAGTGAGGCCGCGTTCCACCGCACTGCTCTGTGTGGTGGCCGCTTTCGCGGCGCCATGTTGGGAGTGGCGTCGCCTTTCGATGGGAAGCTCCACCTCCCGCTTCCGGAGCAGCCGTGACGCTTCGCGGGGGTGGGCGCGGACGACGGGCGGGACATGGACTCTTAAGGGGAGGCTGGAGGCGGCTGGGCTCGGCCTGAGGGCAGCGGCGTAGCGGCCTCCGGGAGCGGTAGGTTTGTGGTGGGGCAGGCCTGGGTTCTATGGCTTTCTCTGCCTTGGGTTGGGCGCGGCCCAGAGCCTCCGGTTCCCATTTCTGCCCTTTGGCCGGGGGCTCCCGAGGCGCTGCGGCAGGAGGCCTTGTCGCAGCTCTCCCCGCTCGCAGCCCGCGGGTTCTGCGGGAGGCCCGGCGGGGTGCGGGAGGAGTCTCCGCCAATCCTGTGGGCAACTGGAGCAGCCCTGGCTCCGTGCCTTTGTCAGCCGTGCGCCTCGCGCTGTGGGGAGCTGTGGTGTTCGCTCGCACTGTCTCTTACGGTCTTTTTTTTCCGAGTGGAGCACGCCTCCTGTCCAGCGACAGCAGTTGATCTGACAGCCTAGGCCGCTGAGGTGGGGGAACTTCGGAAACCACTTTGTGCAACTTCTCTGGCCGCTGACCTTCCCCTTTTTCACTCTGTGAAAGGACGGCACTGAACAGCTGGGTGGTGCTTTACTTCTCTTTTGTGACCAAACCTGGTGCTATGCTGCAAACGGCACTGCATCAGAAGGCATTTTTCAAGATAAGAGGTAATGGCCTCAAGTTGTGCTGGAGGATGTTCAGGCTGGATATTAGGAAAATCTCAGAAGGAGCAGCGGGGCATTGGCACAGGGCTACCTGAAGATATGGTGGAGTTACTGAACCTGGAGGTCTTTAAAGAAGATAGATGGTAGATGTGGCACTGAGGGACATAGCTGAGTGGGCATGATGGGGATGGGCTGGTGGTTGGGCTGAGTGGGTGATCTTTTCCAACCTTAATGATCCAATGATTCTAGGGCGAAGGAGCAGCCTCCTGTGGTACCAACTACTCTATTTGTTGTCTTGAACCATTGATTGGTTATTGACAGGCCAGTAATTAACACATCTGAGTGCCTGAGCTCCTCTGTCCTGCATGTCTTTTGATTGCTAGTTGTATATTGCTGTGTGTGCCCCTAGAAGAAACAATGTGTGTTGCTGACTGTATGTGTCTCTAAGATTGGTTGTTAACTTGTGTTGGCCAATAATTAATTAGGAAGAGGTATCACGAGGCTTTTCCAAGGACAGACATGGATTGTTGAGAGGATGTGGAGCTTGACACAACACAGAGAGGAGGTGGTATTGCTAGCGCCTATTCTTCAGCTATCGCCTCTGTGCAGTGTGCTCAGGAAGCTGATAAGATAGAGCAGGAAGCCTGCAGAGTAGTGTCTTGTTCTTAGTCGTGGCCTCCTCCCTCAGTGTTACAGATGTTTTGTTCATTTATCTTGTAGCCATAATAGCACAGAGGAGTATATTCTGATGCTGATACTTTGTACCATGCTGTATTAGATGGGCTGAATTTCAGCTGCCTAACAAGCACAATAACTTCTTGTTTGTCTAAGGAAATGTTGGGGGGGTGGAAAACCCAACAAATAATTTCTTCCAC